GCCCTGCTGATACCATGGATGCAGAAGTCCCATTATATACAATAGTATAGTAAAATTGTATTCTTATATAAAATGGCAATATCAATTTTCTGTTGGAATACTTTCAAGCTGTGGATGGTTGAATCCATGGATATAGAATCCATGGATATGGAGGATTGACTGTCTTTTTATATAAGATTCTTAGTTGTCTTGAGTTCACATGAAGAAGAAATGGGCATCAATCAAACAATAACTACATGAGAATGGGTTTACAATGTTAGTGTAAAACATTGGCTATGTTAGGGAGCCAGAGCGATCACTTGCACATGTACTAGTCTAAAACTGTAGGTAATGTATATATAAAAAAAAGATGAGCAAAGGATAAGACTTTGGAAAGTACAGTATTTTGTTCACCAAAATGTCAATGCTGGGAGTCTACTTCATTACAAGATGACTTGAACTCTTATTTCCATCACTTTTCTCAGCAGGAAAGTACAATAAGCCAGCAGACTAGGCTTCTTCTGTTTCACATCAACAACTTTTCTGATTGTACTGTTCATATACTACTGGTGACATTAACTTTTGTCATGCAAGTATTGTGATCAATTACCACAGCTGCTACAATCAGGAATACAACACACATGAAATTGTAAATAAGTAACCATATTAGTTTTAGTCTTCTAACATTCAGCTACTTAAAGAGATTACACCTGAACATGAGGAAGAACTTCCTAACTGTGAGAGCTGTTCAGCAGTAGAAATCTTTGCCCTGGAGTGTGGAGGAGGCTCCTTCTTTGGAGGCTTTTAAACAGAGGCTGGATGGCCATCTGTTAGGGGTGCTTTGAATGCAATTCTCCTGCTTCTTGGCAGGGGGTTGGACTGGATGGTCCACGAGGTCTGGACTGGGTGGCCCACGAGATCTCTTCCAACTTTATAATTTTATGATCTGCTTAATTCAATCTATATAATATACCTATTAAAAGTTTCCCCTGACATTAAGTCTAGTCTCTGAGGGGTAGTGCTCCTCTCCATTTCTAAGCTGAAGAGCTGGCGTTGTCCGTAGACACTTTCAAGGTCATGTGGCCAGCATGATTGCATGGAGTGCTATTACCTTCCCACAGAAGTGGTACCTATTGATCTACTCACATTTGCATGTTTTTGAACTGCCAGATAGGTAGAAGCTGGGCCTAACTTTGGGAGCTCACCCTGCTCCCTGGATTCAAACTGCCAACCTTTTGGTCAGCAAGTTCAGCAGCTCAGTGGTTTACCCGCTGCGCCACCAGGGAGCCCACAATCTACCTATTTCACTTGCATAAATCCATGTACAGGTTAAAACAATATTTCTGAATCAGAAAGCAGGTGTGGTCTTAGGATAAATGTGTAAAAAACGCCATCAGTATAGACTCAAGTAATTCAGTTCAATGCAGTGAAACTGCATTGTGAAACTGCATTGTGAAACTGCATTATATAGCAGTGTAGATTGGGCCAGATAAAGGCTATTTCTGAAATTTAAGGTCTGAGGGGTGCAGAGACTCAAACATATGAGAATGGGAAATTCCACATACAAAGATCATAGGCCACTCCTCAGAAAGGAGCAGAGAGACACCTTTTAAATGTAAAGTTTTATAATGCAGTCTTATGAATATTTACTTAGGAGTAAGTTTTGCCGTGTTGCTAACATTAAAATAGATACACTATTGCAGTCTAATTCAATCCAAAACATGTTGACTAAGAAGTCAGATACATTGCATACAGTAGATAACATATACAGGACCTATGCCACAATAACAAATTGCATAATCTTAATAAACAATCAAATAATAAATGGCATTCTCTTGATTGTTGAGCTATTTGATAGATATGGGGCTACCAGAATCCTATCGACACTGCTCAGTTATGGTACTATGATTCTACTTTGACTGGCACGACAACATCCTACAGAATCCTGGAGTTTTTAGTTTGGTGAGGCACTAGGAACTTCCTGGATGGGAATTATAAATCCTTCTCCCTAAACCACAACCTTTTGATTGCATTGGAGGAAACAGTAGCAGTCAATAAGAAACTACAGTGCTGTAATTGTGTAGCATGAAAGTGCCTGGAGAGAAGAATCAGCAACAGATAGGAGGCGGGCGTCTACATCTCGTCCTTTCCAGTCCTCCTCCTGCTCTGGAAGCTTCTTGAGGTTGTGTCAGTGATGCAGTCCCTGAATTATGTGCAAGCAGCCGCCAGTTTGTTGAGAAGCGTCCCTGTGACAGACAGGATTACTTTGCCAAGGCTGCAATTTGAGCTCATGTGGGAACTGGATATAAAAGGAAACAGTTCATTCCCAGTTCCCACCTTCCAACCTTTTCACTTCGTCCACATAACAGTTCTGAACTTTGACATCAGATTTGTTCAAAATCCACCAGGAAACATTGTATTACTGTAAGACTGCCTTAATGCGAGAATTTTAAGGAGGCATGCACAGTATTTCATTCTTGTTCCTCTCCTATCAGATCTTCCTCAAAAGAAATGTTTTAAAAAACCTATTTCTCTCTTACTATAACCATTCAAGCTAGTATTTATTTTCGTTTTGTGGAGTTCATTGTGAAAAAATTGGTTAAACCCTTGTGCTGGCAGGACTGAAGATCGACAAGTTGGAGGTTCGAATCCAGGGAGAGCATGGATGAGCTCCCTCTGTCAGCTCCAGCTCCTCATGTGGGGACATGAGAGAAGCCTCCCACAAGGATGGAAAAACATCATAACATCCGGGTGTCCCCTGGGCAATGTCCTTGCAGATGACCAATTCTCTCACACTAGAAGTGACTTGTGGTTTCTCAAGTCACTCCTGACACAAAAAACCCCCAATTTTTAATAATGTTACATGCTCAGAAACAGTGTACTCTAGTGTGGAGTAAACCCCACCTAATCTTTATCAAAATTTGCAATGGCACAGCTTATTACAGTGAAACAAAATGCATATTTGAATGACGTATATCACAAAAGAAAAGAAATTATATGGTTTGTGTTGACTCTAATTCTCTGCATGTTGAAGCATTTGGGGGGAAATAGCCTTGTGGTGCATTTGAGCAAATAGTGCCATGAGAATTTGCATCCTTAACTGCATTTGCAACCATCAGGTGAGGGTTTACACAGGTGATAGTATTGCTTATCCAAAATTCTTGGGACCAGGTTTTATTCTGTGCATTACAACACAATAAAACCAAAACACAGAATAAGCATTGCAATAAAATAAATAAAACATAAGAATACAATATATTCCCAACAACATTTATTTATATGACACCCTATCTCTCCGGAGGGACTCAGGGAGGATTCCAAACATAAAAGGCAAATATTAAATGCCTGAACATAATAACAATACATCCATAATAACAAAAATTGACAACCCAGCATATAAAAGCAAACAACTAAAATTAAATAAAAATGCAACCTATTATATCAGCGTTTCTCAACCTGGGGGTTGGGACCCCTGGAGGGGTTGCGAGGGGGTGTCAGAGAAAACACAGTATTTTTTGTTGGTCATGGGGGTTCTGTGTGGGAAGTTTGGCCCAATTCTATCATTGGTTGGATTCAAGGGGCTCTTTGACTGTAGGTGAACTATAAATCCCAGGAACTACAACTCCAAAATGTCAAGGTCTATTTTCCCCAAATTCCATGAGTTTTCACATTTGGGCATATTGAGTATCCATGCCAAGTTTGGACCAGGTCCATCATTGTTTGAGTCCACAGTGCTCTCTTGATGTAGGTGAACTACAACTCCAAAACTCAAGTTCAATGCCCACCAAACCCTTCCAGTGTTTTCCGTTGGTCATGGGAGTTCTGTGTGCCAAGTTTGGTTCAATTCTATCATTGGTGGGATTCAAGGGGCTCTTTGATTGTAGGTGAAATATAAATCCCAGCAACTACAAATCCCAAATGTCAAGGTCTATTTTCCCCAAATTCCACAAGTGTTCACATTTGGGTGTATCAGGTATTTATGTCAAATTTGATCTAGTGAATGAAAATACATCCTGCATATCGGATATTTACATTACAATTCACAACAGTAACAGAATTACAGTTATGAAGTAGCAACAAAAATAATTTTATGGTTGTGGGTCACCACAACATGAGGTATTAAGGGGTCGTGGCATTAGGAAGGCTGAGAACCACTGTATTATATCAAACATGAAAGAAAACATCAAACACCAAACAGAAGTGTCAATTTCCCAGTTCCTTGGAGGCAAATAAGATTGATCATTGCTATGCCTATTGAGCTGGTGGGTCAAAGTGGGCATGGATACGGATGGCAGATATCAATCAGAGATATAATGGCAGTATTGCCATCTATTCCTCCTCCTAAGCCAGTGAGCAAAGGTACATCAGCTGTTTCTTGCAGAAGGGAGTTCCTTGGGAAGGGAGTTCCAGAGGTGGGGGCGGCCACGGAGAAGGCCCTTGAACTGCCTTCACTTGAACTGCCATGGCCCAATGCTATGCAATTATGGGAGTTGTAGTTTTACAAGGTTTTTAGCCTTCTCTGCCACAGTCTCCCATGAGCTATGGCAGTTCAAGTGGGGTCAAAGTACATTAATTCTACAAGATAGTTGCATCCACAGCCAGAGCCTGAAATTAACTTGATGCACAAGTTTTGTGCTTGCAACCAAGTTTGTGTACACTGAGGTGTCACTCAAGTCAATTTTGGGCGTTGGGGTTATTTTGGATTTCAGGGTTAACTTCCAGGTAAGGAATACCCAATACCAGAGCCATGCTTTTTACAAATCAGCACCAAAGCATCACAGGATAGAGTCTGCCACAATCACAGCTATGGGGTTGTGGGAATTGTAGTTTGGCAAGGTCTTGATCCTACTCCTGTCTCTCCAAACTACAAATCCCAGGCAGTTGGAGCGGTGTCAAACTGCATTAACTCCACCGTGCAGGTGCACTCGCAGTGCGGGACTCCACCACGCCCCTTTCTCAAACTCCCAACCTCTCCCGTCTAGACAGAAGCTCTACGGGGGGGAAATGCGAAGCAAACCTACCGCCGTCGACCCCGAGGACGTGGCCACAAAGACTTTGATCACCATTGTGACGCCAGCCAAGGGACAGGGAGCTTAAGAGGAACCAGTCGCGGGAGCCCGGCACGCAGCAGCAGCCGCTGGCCGAAGAGAGAGAGGGGAGGGGGCTCCGGGTGGGAAGCCTGGCTCCCTGGCATGGCCCCTGCCCCCCCCCCCCCCGTCCCACCCAGGCCATTGGCTCTCGGGTATTTGGGGAACGGCCAGCCCAAGAGGCGATTGGCTGGTAAGAGGATCCATTGCAAGGGGACGGGCCCCTCGCTTCCCCCCCGCGCATCACTTTAGATTGACCGGTTGACAGCCCTTAAAAGGCCAGAGAGTGTAGCTCACCAATCAGGCAGGACACTGGCCGGGGGAGGAAGAGGAGGAGGAGGGAGGAAGAAAGAAAGAAAGAAAGAAAGAAAGAAAGAAAGAAAGAAAGAAAGAAAGAAAGGAGCCAGAGGAAAGGCTGGATTTGCCCTGCCAAAGAGTGCAGTTGGAACTGCATGATATGATCAGTGCAGACCCATCTTTATTATTATTGATTAATATTTTATTAGGGATAAATAAAAAAGAGAAAACAAAAAAGGGGACAAAACCAAAGTGTTACATTTTAGAACTACATAAAATGAGATATAATAATAATAATAATAATAATAATAATAATAATAATAATAATAATAATAATCTTTATTTATACCCCACCCCACACCTGTCAGGCTAACGAGTGACCATAAACACACTGAAAAACACTGTGGAAGAGACTTAAAAAAAAACATTGCATGAGCAAAACCACATATATACACATATACACAAATATATATACACACAGACACACACAAAACACATATACACAGACTGGGCCGCAGGAACACGTGGCAGGGGAAGTCTAGTAGTACATGTAGTGATTGTTTTGACCTCCCATTGTTGTTGAGCAATTTAGAATGGCTGTGGATAGTGAGATCCAAGCAACTGTAGATTGAGCTTGGTGAGAAAAAGAAGCCAGTATTCCAGAGTAAATAATCTCACCAAATTGAAGCAGAAGCAAATGAGGTCTTTATTTAATTTCAGCTGAAAATGATGCCAGCCTGCAGTAATCCACCCCCAAAATAGGCTGAGATACATAGCAGAAAAACATGTACTTTTAAACATTTTTGTCCTTTGAATTTCGCATGCCCGCCTTCCTGAGCCGTCTTCACTGTGATTGGCCAGGGGACTCCCTGACATCATCGGACTGGGAGGAGCAGCCGGGAACTGATGTGTACATAGCACATTATAAGAAATATAATATAATATATAATATTAGAAATAAAAATAGTGCAGACCCATCTTGAACTGCATTGCAGGCAGTCTGAAAGTTTTGAACAAGATCGGGTCTGTAGGTTTGTTCTTAATAATAATATGCATAATCATAAACTTTATTTATACCCTGCCACCATATCATCAAAGGAGACTTGGGGGGGCTGATATGAGGCCAAGCCCAAAAGTAACAATACAACAAAGCAAAATTCAAAGAAACAAAATAGCATCAAATAAATACAAGAAATGACAAAATGAAATACACAATCACAAAATAACATAATAGAAAATGAAACACGGGGCGGGCCAAATGTGTTGAGAATAAAATTGATAAAATTGGTAAAACCCTGGGTGAGATAAGAAGAATAGGTGTCTGAGGGAGAATGTGTTCCTGAGGGAGGAGCTCAGAAGGGACAAAGAAAAAGGTAGGCCTTCATTAGGGACCCGGGGGGGGGGGGGGGGGGGGGGGGTGTCTTAAGTTTGTTCTCTCCTGATGTTTTGCCTATATTTATGGCAGGCATCCTCAGAGGTTGTGAGGTCTTTTGGAAACTAGGCAAGTGAGGTTTGTATATCTGAGAGAGTGCTTCTGGAACATCGTAATCATCATCAATGTTGCAATCCCAGGCAACAGCAGCATTGAAGAGAAACAACTGGAAAAGCTGACACGATATGAGGATTTAAAAATCCAACTGTAAAGACTCTGGCACAAGCCAGTCAAGGTGATACCAGTGGTGATCAGCACACTGGGTGCAGTGCCTAAAGACCTGACATCTGTCAGCTGCAAAAGGTCACCCTACTGCACACATTATTCACCGATACATCACATAGTCCTAGACATTTGGGAAGTGTCTGACATGTGATCCAATACAACAGCCAGCATAGTGATATTGTTTGCTGTGTACTTATCTTGTATTTCAAATAATAATAATAACAACAACAACAACAACAACAACAACAACAACAACAACAACAACAACAACTTTATTTTTGTACCCTGCCTCCATCTCCCCAAAGGGACTCACGGTGGCTTACATGGGGACAAGCCCGAACAGACATAGATTAAATACACAACGCAATAAAATAAAACAACATGATAATAACATAAAACAACATCATAAAGCAACCAATAGTCTGAACAGGAATAACAGTAATAAACATGGTCATACAGTCTGGAAAAATCACAGCAACCCAGTGAAAGCCACCGACAACACATTTATTATTATTATTATTATTATTATTATTATTATTATTATTATCAGCTGTACTTATATCCTGCCTTTTTCCCATGGGGACTCAATGGTGGCTAACATCTAGCCACACTAAACAGTTTAAAAAGAGCAACATGAAAGTTAAAAAACAATTAAATAATAATAGTTTGGTAAAAAAGAATTACAATACAGAAAATACATTAAAATGACCATTAAAACTCATATTAGGCCACATGGGAGTTGTGCTACAATAAGATTTAGAAGGCTGCAGTTTTTTCTGTTGAGTCAGGAGACTAGTTTGGATTTGGATACCAGCCTTGTGGATGTTATGTCTGATTTTAAAATGCTCTTTAACCTTTCCCCAAACTCAGGGCCACAAGAACTGTTGGGCTGAAATTCCCATAATCCCCCGTCTGCATGGCAGATAATCAAAAGTGATTGGAGGTGCTGAGAACCCACATTGCGTAAAAACTACAGGATACCAACCACTATGTGTGTGTGTGTGCGCGCGCGCGTATGGTGTGTGTGTGTATTTGTTCCATGGATTCAGTGGCTGATGTGGCCCTTGATGAAAATGTGTTTGACACCCCTGCTATAGGCGATCCTTCGTGGCTGACTATGATTGTCTTCCATGGCTAGAGTCTTGGCAGTGGGTCCATAAGTGACTGTGCGTGTATGTGAGAATATGGATACGGATCTTGGATGAATGGAACTATGCACTTCATATGTTTTAATCTGTTTACTTTTTTAATGTGTTTATTGACTAAATATTAGCCGTTTTAATGGAGGGGATATTTCCCAAGTGTCTAGGACTGTGTGATGTATCGGCAAATAATGCATGCAGATCCCAGTAAGGTGGCCTTCTGCAGCGGACAGATGGTAATTATGTCAGCGCCAATTGTGTTTAAGTTCAGGCCAAGGTCTTTAGGCACTGCACCCAGTGTGCCGATCACCACTGGGACCACCTTTACTGGCTTGTGCCAGAGTCTTTGCAGTTCGATTTCCAAATCCACATATCGTGTCAGCTTTTCCAGTTGTTTCTCTGCAATCCTGCTGTCACCTGGGATTGTAACATCGACAATCCATACTTGGTTTTTTACCACGATTGTGAGGTCAGGAGTATTGTGCTCCAAAACTCTGTCTGTCTGAATCCGGAAGTCCCAGAGGAGTTTGGTGTGTTCATTCTCTGTAACTTTTTCCGGCTTGTGATCCCACCAGTTCTTTGTCACAGGCAGGTGGTATTTGTGGCACAAGTTCCCATTATTATTATTAGTATTATTATTGACCCACCGATGGGTGCCACCTTGTCGTGGTGAGGGGCTTAACTACTCCAGGGATGCTAAGAGCTGTGCTGCTGGTAGTGTAACTACCAGCAGGTCCAACCAAGCCAGAGAGGTCTCAGCTGAGGAGTGGAACCAAGAGCACCTAACCCATTAGTGCTATGGAGAAGCAAACCAAAACCAAGTCTATACTGGCTCGGTCGACGCCCAGGATAAAAAGGACCGCGGTGGATGCTGCTGATTCTGGACATCCATCAACAAGTGGGCTACAGAATCAAAATACAAATGAACCATCACAGAAGTGGCAGAAATATACAATGCCGGAAAACCGCACTATTATTATTATTATTATTATTATTATTATTATTATTATTATTATTATATGTGTATGTATAAGGTGTCTCGGTGTGCCTCTCCACTGTAGACTAGTGCTTTACCTGCCATGGCCCAAGGCTAGGGAATCCTGGGAGTTGTAGTTTGGCGCGGCACTGAGCCACAACAAGTGATAGTGGTGTCGAATTGCATGGATCCTACAGCCTAGAGGCGTCCAAGGAGAGCGACGGCAGCGAGAGCGCCAAAAGGATGACACTGAAAGCCTCCCGCCAAGCTTTGTCTCACCTCCCTATTGTTCTCTTTGGCCATTCTCCTACAAGCCCCATGATGCTCCGCGAAGGCATTCTCCGGTTACTATGGCAACCAAACTCTGAAAACAGCACCCCCTCCCTCCGCCAATGCGGCCGAAGGGACTCGGTGACGTCAACAAAGGGGGGAATCCTGGTGGAAGCCTCTGCCTTCGCGTGGGAGGGAAGGGAGCTGGAGGCTGGCAGGAGAGGTGGCTCCGGTTCGTGGGGCAATTGTGGCTTGTCTTTGTGGGTAAGGCAGGCCCAGTGGCACCTAGAGGGCAAAGGGGTGGCCGATTGAATCACTATAAGGGGGAGGACGACAACTTGGCGGTTCAGGAGTACCTCTCGCTTTTGCTTTGCTGTCCACTTCTCTCTCTCCCTTTGGGGTAGACTTCCTTCCCTTTCTTTGAAATCCTTGTTATAAGTTATACGATTACAGTAAACCACAAAGCAAGAAAAACAGGGAAGCCAAAGCTTTTTAGGGGAGGGGGCAAAGCAGGAAAAGCAAGGGGTGTCTCTAGACTGTAGGATGAATGCAGTGAGAGTACAATCCCTATGAGGAGCGGCTTAAAGAGCTGAGCATGTTTAGCCTGAACAAGAAAAGGCTGAGAGGAGACATGATGAGTGCCATGTATAAATATGTGAGGGGAAGTCATAGGGAGGAGGGAGCAAGCTTGTTTTCTTCTGCCTTGGAAAGTAGGACTGGAACAGTGGCTTCAAACTACAAGAAAGGAGATTCCAGCTGAACTTTAGGAAGAACTTCCTGACTTTGAGAGCCATTCAGCAGTGGAACTCTCTGTCCCAGATTGTGGTGGAGGCCCCTTCTTTGGAAGCTTTTAAGCAGAGGCCGAAAGGGCATCTGTTGGGGGTGCTTTTAATGCTATTTTCCTGCTTCTTGGCAGGGGGTTGGACTGGATGACCCATGAGGACTCTTCCAAATCTACGATTCTATGATGCCTCTTGAATTGCCATGGCTCATTGCTATGGAATCTTAGAAGCATCCGTTTCACAAGCTCTTCTGGCAAAGAGGCATTACTGCCTCAGCAAACTACAACTCCCAGGGTTCATGGCACTGAGTCATGGCAGTTCACCTGGCGTCAAACTGCACAATTTCTGCAGTGTAGAATCACCCCACCAGTGATGAAGTCCTCTTTTGGAGAGAAGATTGATTTCCTAAAAATATTATGGGTTTTACATGCATCTACACTGTAGAGTTAATGCACTTCGATGTCACTTTGAGTTCCAAAGCTCAAGGCTGTGGAATCACGGGAATTGTAGTTTTACAACATCTACAACCACCTCTGCAAAGAATGCTCTTGCCTCACCAAACTACAATTCACATGATTCCATAGCATTGAGCCATGGCAGGTAAAGTGGTGTTAAAATGCATTAATTCAATGGTGTAGATTAGTCATGGGCAAACTTTGGCCCTCCAGATGCTTTGGACTTCAACTCCCACCATTCCTAACGGCCAGTAGGTAAACTTACATGCTGGTGTAAGTAACGGTAAAGGTTTCCCGTGACATCACCCTTTTGTACTGATATAAAAATACAAGAGCCAATGTCAAAGCAGTATATTTTACAATGGCAACATATTACAACTCCACAAAATGCTATGGACAATTTAATGAATTATCCAGTTATTAAGTTTTACTAACTATTCTGAGCCAGTAGGTAAAGGTAAAGGTTTTCCCCTGACATTAAGTCCAGTTGTGTCTGACTCTGAGGGGTGGTGCTCATCTCCATTTCTAAGCCAAAGTACTGGTGGTGTCTGTGGATGCTGCCAAGGTCATGTGGCTGGCATGACTGCATGGAGTACTGTTACCTTCCCACAGAAGTGGTACCTATTGATCTACTCACATTTGCATGTTTACAAACTGCTAGGAAGCGGTACCTATTGGAGCTCATCCTGCTCCCTGGATTTGAACCGCCAACCTTTTGGTCAGCAAGTTCAGCAGCTCAGTGCTTTAATCCACTGCACCATCGGAGGCACCTGCCTGGTGTAGAGGCATCCCAAAACACAAAGCAAGAGAATCAAGGACACAAAAGGAATGGAAAGGAAAGGAAGAGGCAGACAAACAAGACAGTTTGGTGAAGCACCAGCACTCTTTTGGACGAGAAGTTTAAACACTGGAAAACTACAACTCCCAGGATTCCATAGCATTGGACTATGGCAGTTAAAGTGGTGTCAAACTGCATTAATTCTACAGTGTAGATGCACCCCTAGTCCAGCACTTAAACCACATGACACACTCTGGCTGTGTCATGCACATGTGATGTAATATTGCTCCGCTCTCTGCAAACTACATCACACATTTCTTCTAAGAAGTAACTGATAATTAACTCTCAAAACCAAACCATTTTCTCTTTTCCCTCCAAAGTCCATCAAGGATGTATCATCTTTTACAAAAGCCCGTTGTGATTTTTCTCTGATCTGTCATGAGAATTTATCCATCTCTGCTCAGTCACTTAATTTTAACATCCTTTCTTCCCCCATGGGAAGGATGAATTTCATTTTGTTGTCAGTTTCTGACATACCCGACCTAAGCTAAGGTAAAGGTTTCCCCTTGACATTAAGTCTAGTCGTGTCCGGCTCTGGGGGGTAGTGCTCATCTCCATTTCAAAGCCGAAGAGCCGGCCTTGTCTGTAGACACCTCCAAGTTCATGTGGCCAGCATGACTGCATGGAGCGCCATTACCTTCCTGCCAGAGCGGTACCTATTGATCTACTCACATTTGCATATTTTCAAACTGCTAGGTTGGCAGAAGCTGGGGCTAACCGCAGGAGTTCACCCCACTACCTGGATTCAAACCACTAACCTTCCCGTTTAACCTGCTGTGCCACCAATAGGCAGGATATCCGTCCTTCCCATCCCTCATCAGGAAAGTTGGTAGCAATGCCACCATGGAGCATTTCTAAAACAACTCTGTGTCTATGTGATATTCATACATTGGCTGATATTTTATTTATGTTTCATGTCTTGACCCACCTGGGCCCCAAAGACAATCCCAGTAGACAAAAACATTTCCAAAAGCATTGCAAACAATAACAATATTAACACACATTCAATTTTTGAAATGGTTTTCACTTCACCCAGACATTGCATCACAAAACTTGCCAACTATCTCAATACTTTCTTACATTTAAACATAATATTTATGGATATGTTCGTATTTTCCCTTGATGTGCAGTACCTTGTTTTCTTTGAAGTACGTTTTTATCTATACATCTTTTGTACCTTTAAGGCACATTTCTTTCAGCAGAAATTCGTCATGGTCTACTACTCCTTGCATGAAAAGAAGTGGGTTCTGGTCTATGAAAATTATGCTTAAGCAAACAGTTTAGCTTTAAAGATACACACAGCTCTATTTTCTTTTTATTCTGAAATGGAATAATAGTTATCTCAGACTATTTTTTACCCTGTGGTTTCATGTTTGCAGGCATCTTCCCTGCTTTTTTTTTTTTTTGCTTCCACTATTATTATTCTGTGTTAATTGTCAAGACTTTTCTAACTCCCTTTTCCATCTTTGTCCTCTTTTTCTTTGAATTTCTGCAAACTTCTTTACCTTTATGCTTTAAAAAACCAATAATGCAAAGACTGTCACATTTACTCATAAATGGATCGCTGAGTTTAATGCCGCTTGTTTCAGTCTAAGTGGGTGTATGATGAAGGTTTAAGCTTCACAACTCGGTGAGACTAATGGCTTCAAACTACAGGAAAGAAGATTCCACTTAACTGTGTGAGCTGTTCAGCAGTGGAACTCTCTGCCCCAGGGTGTGGTGGAAGCTCCTCCTTTGGAGGCTTTTAAACAGAGGCTGGATGGCCTTCTGTCGGGGTGCTTTAAATGTAATTTTCCTGCTTCTTGGCAGAATGGGGTTGGACTGGATGGCCTACAAGGTCTCTTCCAACTCTATGATTCTATGAATGTTTGAATAAACAGCTATAGAATTGTGCCATATTTTTAAAATAAGGATCTAGCTTAACTTATTTTAAGTCAACTTTTTAGAAGCTAGTCTTAGTTTATCACAAATCGATGGCTCCTAATGTTACAGAAAATAAGTTATTTTCCCTCTATTTAAAAAGACATGATAGGAAACATGAGAACGGAAGATATTTTATGCCTTTCCCCCAGCAAAATTTCCTGAATGAGAATGGTTAGTTGAAAAGTAAGAACCTCATCTAGAAGCATTGTTTATATAGTCGTCAAGTTAATAATGTATTAACATATTTAGAATCAATCTAATCCATACTATTCAAGTCTTCTGATACCGTTCGGCTTTGTATAATTGTAAGGAATGATATGACATGATTCAATCTTTATTCGCCCAAAAAAGATGTCTGGTTTAAATCATGTATCTCTGGTGGCAGCTAAGCTCAATAAAATAAAATAATAATAATCCAGGTAGATTTAATCTCTTTGTGAAATTTAGAATGTCAATATTATGACATTTGTTTTGTCCTTTTTAAGTTCCTTGGGAAAATTCAGCACTCAAACACTGTCTTCCAAGCTTGTCATTACTTGTAAACAACAAAATTGAGAATATAATCATATAAGAATACAAACATATTGCATATTGAGAAAATATTGTTTATTTACTGCATTTATATCCCATCCTTCTCACCCCAAAGGGGACTCAGTAAGTAGTAATATGTAACATCGTTTGATTTTCTAATTATTTGCTATGTCCTTTTTGTGATGTATTATTTAATTAACAATCTTGTTCATTTCAGTAGGTTATGAGTCACTGGAGAAGGGATGATGGCTTCAGATGACTTTCTCCCCCATTTTATAATTAAAGAAGAGAACATATGTGAACAACATATAAACCATGGAAGCCCATGTGATTCTCCTAGTAGGCTTTGTGAGAGCATCCAAAGCCACAGTACTAATAAAATTAATAACTGCAGTGAACGTTCCAGTCGAAGTGGAAGCTTTCAGCTTGACTATTCCAATGACTTTCATGCTAAGACTCCAAGTAGGGCCAGCAGTAGCAGCAGTTGTTCAGAACAGAACAACTGTGGAACTTCCCAGAACTACTATTACGAAGGTTTTGACACAGACTCTTTTGAAACATCAAGGAGAAGCAGCTACAGCAGTCCCTTAGAACAACCAGAAACCAAAGAAGATGAATTACCAAAGAAGAAAATGGGAAATGATCCCCAAGCCAAAGGTAAGAAGACATTAACACTACTGGGCACTGCTGCATTCACTTATAGTTGAATTGATTATGGCCATGGGTTTCCTACTCACTTACCAGTTATAGTGCTCCTCCACTCTTATGTCTGAACTGATCCCAATGGTATCATACTTCTTGGAAAACAACTTAGCTGTGTTGTAAATTGTCTGTACTTCTGGTTCACTTTCCGCGGACTTGATGTTTCGCGGGTTTTTATCTCCCAGTTTATGAATGGTTGCCGTTGCCCAGAGTGGCGTTCTAATCCCACCTCCTGGTAGCAATGGAGTGTGGAAGGGGGTTTCATCCCCCCCTCAGGAGAGAAGCAGCCAATCAAGAGAGATTGCAAAGCAAAGCAGAGATAGCTAGCAAAAAAAGAGGTGTGTGGTGCCTTTAAATCTCTCTCTGCTTTTTCCTCACCTTCGGAATACGATATACATATATAGCGTCCCTACTTCATACATTTTCACTTTTTGCGGGTGGAATGTAACACCTGCGATAAATGAGGAAACACTGTATCTGCTTCATTGACATTCATAAATAAGGGACATGGTGAGAAGGATGTGCAAGGACTAGAAGCAAAAAACAAAAAAGGTGCAGCAAAGGAAAGTGGCCTGTTTAATGGGAACTGTGATTTCTTCATGTAGTCTGAAACCTATTTTTGTTTTGTAGTCTGAAACCCCTCAGTTTCAATTCACATTCTCATTACCTGGTGGACAATATAGTACTTGTGTATGGTGCATATTGTGGAGGTACAATATAAGTAATTAAATATTAAACATTATAATACTTCTGTGTATTACTGCAATAAAAATGTAAAACATTATGATCAGTGCACAGCACATAAGTAAACTCAGAAATTTACTGTTTCAGGATACTGCGATACTCTCAGCTTTAGTTGTTTGAAGCCATCATTATACTCTGTTTCCCACTACACCCTTTAAAAACGCAGTGCATATGAAAATTCTGTGCCCTTTGTATACGAAGTCTGGGATATTCCATAGGCTTGGCACCAGCATATGGCATCCCCATGTTCTTGGGACTCTAGGACCCTAGAAATAGCCTTCACTTCCACTTTTGCTTTTCCCTGTAAAGAAAAAACAATGTTATTTAATTTCCTCTTATGTCCCAGGGCAATGCTACACCAAAGAATTGGAGATTAGCTGGGATACATAGAATATTCCACTCCAAACCACCCAGTGGTGACCCAGCATTTAGACTGCTGCCACCCTTCACTGTCATGCAAGGCTGACAAAGGATCCTACTGACTGGGACAGATTGCTTGATGTTTCCTCAAAGCTGGAGCCAAACCTGTCTTTACGTTATACATATGTGGCTATAGTATTATATATTAGAAGTGGTAATATGCAGTCAGTGGACAAAATAGATCTATAATACGTATGCCCCCTCAAAACCCTTTTAAGGATCCCTTCCCACTGAGCATGTCTTTTCTCTTCAAATCAAGATGTGCAGTCCTTTTGTCTTTCTTAGGCGATCCCTCATAGCCCGAGGATGATGGTCCTCCAAGTGTAGTGTCTTGGCGGTGGGTGCGTAGGTGGCTGTGGAGCCTTATTCTTGATCTGCATGTTCTACCGCAGTGAGGATATTGGTTTTTTTTTTTTCCAAGATGGCGCTGTGAAGACACACAGCACTGCCAGCTCCAGGGGTGAGATTAATTTGCCCCCGACTCCCCCCTCTCGCTGCTGCCCCTTTACCATCTAAATCCGGGGAAGGCCTCCCCCCGAGTGATCCGGGGGCATCGAGAAGGAAGAGGGCCCCTGAAGGCCGGAATAGCTGCGCGTCGCCGCCATTCCACCGCGACTGGTCGCGCAACGCCACCACTCTTCCACGGCTGCCTCCGTCGTCCGCTGCCACTCCATCGCAGCCTGTTTCCAGCCGGTAAAGCCACGGGGCCTCCCGCTGACGCGCCCTCCCACCTCCCGCCGTCCCGGGGGAGGTTGATGTGAGGACTCACTTGCTCGCCGCGGGCCCTATCCCATCTAGGCCCGAGGCCTGCTAGGCCGCATCGCGGCGTGCCCCAATCCCTAGCATACCGGAGGAGGTGAGAGAGAAGTTCTGCTCAGCCACGGCGGATCTCTTTGCGCGCCGCCGGAAGCCTCCCCATTCGGGTGGAGAGCGAAAGGGCCTACTAGGCCTCGGCCGCGCAGCCACCGCCCCCTCCTTTACCACCTGGAGGGGGTGAAGAAGAAGAGCCTGTCAGCCGCGGCGCATCCGGCCCCTCTGAAACATCGAGAAGGGGCCGTGGAAGAGCGCCGGGCTGTACTGCCTCTGCCCCCTCCCTTGCCATCTGGGAGGGGTGAAAGAGAGCCGGCTGTTCGCGACTCGATCCGGCCCCTCCGTCCATCGGGAAGGGGCCGTGGGAAGAGCTCTGCGCCACGTTCCGCCGCCCCCTTCCATCGGGAGGCGAGTGAAGTGATCCGGCTAGCCGCGGCTCACGGCCCCCCCGTTCCATCTAAGAAGGGGCCCAGAGAGACCACCAGCCACGCCGCCGTCGCCCCCTCCCTTGTCATCCGGGTGGGGTGAAGACTGCTCCAGCCAGCTGTGGCCCTTGTCGACCCTCTTGCACCGAGAAGGGGTCGTAGAGTTCCAGGAAGCTGCTGTTTCGAGTGCTCGAGTGTCTGCACTGGGAAGGAATTTTATCGCCATCTGACTCTTTTATTGTTTTATGTTTTTGTTTTGTTTTATTATTTTTACTCTTACTCTATTTTCCCACTTTCTCTTTTTGGCTAGTGTTATTTTGGTTTTAGATTTAGGATAGTTGGCTATATGTTGCATGTTGTCTGTTTGGTTTTAATTGCTGAGTGTATGTTAGGAGGTCATAGTGATTTATAGGTTTTGATATCAGAGGATTGGATTGCTGGGGTGGGTCAGGGAAGAGGCCCAGGAGAGCGCATGAGTCTGTCTGTGACATAGAAATACTATATAGGAAGGTGCGGATGGTAGCTGAGTGTGTTTAGACTAGGGTTGTGATAAGTGATTCATAGGAAGGAGTGGATGTTTGTTGGGTGTGTTTAGTCTAGTGAGAGAGTGAGTCGGCTTAGTCTAACTGCCCGAGTGATTTGTGGGAGTGGGTGGAGAGTGTGACATAGGAAGTATGCATGAGTACTGGGTGTGGTTAGTTTAGTGTGTGCGAGCGTAGGTCAGTGTGGTTGGTAGAGTGTATTGTGGGAGAGAGAGGAGTGTGTGGATCCTTGGAGTGCCTGGGAGTGGCTGGTTGTGTTGGTAGTGAATGTGAGTGAAGCGAGTGGGAGTGCCCAGATTGAGTGTTGTGAGAGCTACCTTTAGACATAGGAATGGATGAAGCAGAACCTCATGCGAAGAATGATCTTTTGCACTTTTACGACCTCCTGAGGGAATCGTTTAATCATGTGTTATTACAACTCAGGTTTTTAAACGAGAAAATGGACCACCTCCTTAGAGGTTTTGCCTCTTTCTCAGGAATTCCTGTGCAATCCTTTCCCCCAAAGACTGAGAACTCTTTGTGTGCAGACCTAGCTAAGGACTTGTGCCAAAATGGGGAGAAAGGCACGTCGGATTGTGGGGATCTTGGGGCTGAACGAGGAATGATTGATGAGTTGACTGAGGGAAGGGGAGAATCTTCGGGTAGTCATAGGATTGAGAACATCGTGGAGTGGCAGCGGTCGGTGATGGCCGCTCAGAGGACGATCAATAATATAACAACAGATCTTTTGGTTCAGCCAACCGCAGCCTGCAATCAAGATCAACATCTACAAACTGACATGTTCGCGGTGGACATTGCTGACCAAATGGTAAACAGAGGCAGATGGACCTCTAAGAGGGCAGTTTGTAACTCTCTGGCCCAAATCCTGGGTAAAAGACCACAGGAAATAAGACTAGAAGCCATAGTCTGGTTATGGAGGGACTACCAATCATCTGACCGTTCCTCCCGTCTTCAAATAACACCAGAAGACAATCTATGGCTCGGAGAGCTTATGGCAAAGCGTTCTGAGTTAAAGAAATGGGGCATTACCATTAGGAGGGTAGTTGTGGACCCTCAGATACGCCCCTTATTTGCCTCCGGGGTTCCTTTTTGCCATACTCCATCAGGTCCCCGTGTATCCACAACTAGCTCACCGGTTAGGGCCCCCCCTCCTGGTTCGTATCATTTTGAGACTCCATCTGTCCCGGTCGCCCCCACTCAACCAGCTACACTCCTTCGCTCGAGAACACTTCCCTTATTCAGTCCACTCAGCTCCCTTGATGTTTCACTATCTACCTCATCATCAGAAACATCCCCACCCAACGCCCAAGGGAGATTATTCCCCAGCCCGACTTCCTCCTCTGAGAGCTGACTAGATATAGATCTTGGTCATGTAGGGGGGGGAGGGTTCCGGAGGAAGGGGGTGCCATTCAAGTCGTGTGGGGGAGGAGAATAGCGGGTCACCGTTATTCCAGGGAGAAGCGCAACAGAGTTCTTGCGACCCTGGAGAAGGTAGGTAGTGGTAGGCTCCATGGCAGCCCCCTTGGTCTTAAGGTCCTGCTGATTAATGCCAGATCCGTTAATGGCAAGACCGCGGCCATCCAGGACTTGATCCTGGATGAGAGGGCGGATCTGGCATGTATCACCGAGACCTGGCTGGACGAACTGGGGGGAGTAAATCTCACCCAGTTGTGTCCACCAGGTTTCGGAGTGCATCAGCAGGCCAGACAAGGGGGGCGGGGAGGAGGGGTCGCAGTAGTCTTCCGGCAATCCATCGCCGTGATCAGATACGCTGTCCCGCAGGCTTCTGGGTTTGAGTGTGTCCACTTGAAAGTGGGGAGCCGTGACAGTCTGGGGTTCCTGCTGGTGTACCGCCCACCCCGCGACCCAGTAGTTTCCCTGGCTGAGCTAGCGGAGGTGGTCTCCAATTCGGCCTTGGTCTCCCAGCGCCTGGTGGTGCTGGGAGACTTTAACATCCATGCCGAGACCACCCTATCTGGTGCAGCTCAGGACTTTATGGCCACCATGACGACCATAGGACTGTCACAAATAATATCTGGTCCCACTCATCAAGCTGGACATACTCTTGACCTTGTTTTCGTGGCGGACAACGAAATGATTAGAGTGGAAGATCAAAACATCCTTCCGGTGTCATGGTCTGATCATTATCTGATCAGTTTTAGACTTGCTGCGACTCTTAACCTCCGCAGGGGTGGAGGACAGATTAAAATGGTCCGCCCTAGGAGACTGATGGATCCGGATGGATTCCTGAGGAATCTTGGGGTTCTTCCTGCCATGGAGCCTGGCGATTCTATCGACGCCTTGGTGACTCTCTATAATGGGGAGATGTCCAGGGCGTTAGATATGATCGCACCCGAACGCCCCATCTCGTTGCGTCGTGACAGGCCATCTCCCTGGTTCACCGGGGAGCTGACTGTGATGAAGCATGCGAGAAGGGGGCTAGAGCGCAAATGGAGGAAATCTCGGGACGTGTCTGATCGAGCACGGGCTAAAGCCTCTCTTAAGGCATACTCCGTGGCTATTCGGGTGGCCAGGAAATCATTCACGACCACCCGTATAGCGTCTGCAGCAAATAGATCATCGGAGCTGTTTCGGGTCGTGGGGGAACTCCTCCACCCACCCGTGGTGGAGGGGGTCACTGATGACCCAGCAGCTCGGTGTCGCAATTTCGCACACCATTTTGCAGGTAAAGTCGCTCAGATACGCCTCGAGCTCGACTCCAATTCCATCGCAGTGCCAGAAGAGGTGACGGAGGCACCTGCTTGTCCATCCTTGTGGGATTCTTTTAGGCTTGTTCTTCCTGAAACCGTAGAGGAGGTTCTTTGGGCTGTGAGGGCGACCACCTCACCTCTAGACCCATGCCCATCTTGGCTCATTAAATCAGCCAGGGAGGGGTTGGTTGATTGGTTTGTGTTGATTGTCAATGCATCGTTGGAGCAAGGGATTTTTCCATCTAATCTGAAACAGGCTGTGGTTCGTCCACTCCTCAAAAAAGCTTCCCTTGACTCCACGGTGCTGAGCAATTACAGGCCAATCTCCAACCTCCCTTTTCTGGGTAAGGTGCTGGAGCGGGTGGTCGCCTCCCAGCTCCAGAGCTTTTTGGACGGTATCAACTACCTAGATCAGTCACAGTCTGGTTTCAGGCCTGGTCATGGCACTGAGACAGCCTTGGTCGCCTTGGTGGATGACCTCCGCAGAGAGCTGGACAGGGGGAGTGTGACTCTGCTGGTTCTCTTGGACATCTCAGCGGCTTTCGATACCATCGATCATGGTATCCTTCTGGGTCGTCTCTCTGGGATGGGCCTTGGGGGCACGGTTTTGTCGTGGCTCCAGTCCTTCCTGGAGGGACGAACCCAGATGGTGAAGCTGGGAGACACCTGCTCAGACCCCTGGCCTTTGACCTGTGGGGTCCCGCAAGGCTCCATTCTGTCCCCCATGCTTTTCAACATCTACATGAAACTGCTGGGAGAGGTCATCCAGAGTTTTGGAGTTGGGTGCCATCTCTATGCAGATGACACGCAACTCTACTACTCTTTTCCACCTAACTCCAAAGAAGCCCCTCGGGTGCTGGACGAGTGCCTGGCCGCTGTGTCGATCTGGATGAGGAGGAACAAGCTGAAGATCAATCCCGACAAGACAGAGGTCCTCCTGGTCGATCGTAAACCGGATCGGGGTATAGGGTGGCAACCTGTGTTGGACGGGGTTACACTCCCCCTGAAGCCACAGGTCCGCAGTTTGGGTGTCCTCCTGGATTCTTCGCTCACACTTGAGGCTCAGGTGTCGGCGGTATCCGGGAGGGCCTTTGCACAATTGAGACTTGTGCGCCAGCTGCGACCGTACCTCGTGAAGGCAGATCTGGCCGGGGTGGTCCACGCCTTGGTCACCTCTAGAATGGATTACTGCAATGCGCTCTACGTGGGGCTGCCCTTGAAGACGGCTCGGAAACTTCAATTGGTCCAGCGGGCAGCAGCCAGGATGCTAACTGGAGCTCATTATCAAGAGAGGTCACCCCTCTGTTTAAGGAGCTCCACTGGCTGCCATTTATTTTCCGAGCCCAATTCAAGGTGCAGGTGCATACCTACAAAGCCCTGGCTGCCATTTATTTTCCGAGCCCAATTCAAGGTGCAGGTGCTCACCTACAAAGCCCTGAACGGTTTGGGACCACCCTACCTGCGTGACCGCATCTCCATCTACGAACCCACACGCTCACTCCGATCATCTGGGGAGGCCCTGCTCGTGATCCCACCCACGTCGCAAGCGCGCTTGGTGGGGACACGGGACAGGGCCTTCTCTGTGGCGGCCCCCCGACTTTGGAATGCCCTTCCAAAAGATCTCCGACAGGCCCCTACTCTAGCAGTCTTCAGAAGGAATCTAAAAACCTGGCTGTTCCGATGTGCCTTTTCAGATTAGGAATCCCCCATCCCAAGTCCTAGAAGCACTTTAGTACAACCGATGTTACTGCACACCATACCTCTAATCCTATGTTCCTCCTGCCATTTCAGCACTTTAACCCCTGTACCCCATTGCGCCGGCCGAACCAGTTTTAATCAGTGTCTTGATGTAGTTATTGTTGTTATTCTGCTTAACGTTTTGAGTTGCATGAAATGTTATGTGTATTGTTATGTTGTTGTTTTTATTGAGGCTTCGGCCTGTGTAAGCCGCATCGAGTCCTGCGGGAGATGCTAGCGGGGTACAAATAAAGTTAATAATAATAATAATAATCATAATCATTCCAGGAGTTGAGTGTGACATCTGTAGACTGTCCACATTTTGCAAGTGTATATCAGGGTTGGCAGGACAACAGCTTTATAAACAAGCACCTTGGTCTCCCTACGGATGTCCTGGTCCTCAAACACTCTCTTTCTTATTCAGAAAGATGCTGCACTCACGATGTTGCATTTCAGTGTCAATGTTGACTTTTGTGGAGAGGTGGCTGCCAAGGTAGTGGAAATGGTCAACATTTTCTAATGTTACTCCATTAAGCTGTATTTCTGGCTTTGCAGAGAGATAGGCTGGTGCCTGCTGGGAGAGTACTTTGTTGTTCTTGATGTATCTAGTAGATGAGTAGATTAATGCTCCCTGAAGTTACCTGGGAATGCAAATTGACTTGCTAACAAGGTGTATGGGAAGCATGTTTAAACATTCCTAGCTTAAAGGAGGAAGCCCTATTTCTAAACATCTATTTTTTTGCATACCATCTAATTTTGACAGTGAATAGAGTGACATGATGCACCCCGCACATGTACAGGGGGATGGCCCTTGGGTGTGCAGAAGTGGCCTACCTTTGGTAAATAGATGTATATGCATATAACGGTAACACTGAGCATCACATTCCTTGTTAGAATGCTCAGAGTTCAAATCTTTTTGATCCTGGTGAGCTACAGTAGAAGGGGTGGCTGTGAAAGAGAGAGGTATGAGCAGAGAAGGGGAGACCACGGTATTGGAAGGAAGGCTAGAAGGACATATTAAGGGGAAAGACACAAAGATAAAGGCAGTTAAGAGAAACTGAATAGAGAGAGAAAGAGACTGCATGCAGGAACTCTGTTTTGAAAATCTCACAAGGGATCCCCTTCCCCTTTTTAAAATTATGTTTTGAGAATTTGCATATGGTCAGCAAAATGAGTGATTAAAATTATTGCGTCAGAGATGAACTGGCAAATATTTCACGGAAAATGCCTAGACAGTGGATACATAAGCCTAAAGGTTTGAACAATCAGGTTGTTGACGCAAGCATTTCTGAGACAGTTTTTAAGTTTGAAAAGCAAAGTCTGGTAGTTTTATAGATTTACTTTTTTCAAGTCAAATACCAATCAATTTTATTCTGGTCTAAATGTAGGGAGGAAGAAGGCATTACCTAAAAAGAAACAGAAGCAAAAGTGTTATTCTGACAGTGCTATAAATTCTCAGAAGAATACTGTGGCTCGCCGCTTATTGTCCGCCAGACTCCACAATGTTAAAGAGTTAAAGAACGAAGTCTATGTTTTGAACAATAAGTTGGAGGCATCTAATATGGAAAACCAGGTCTTGAAGCGGATGCAGTATCGGCATTTGAAAGCAATAAGTCAATATGAAAATGCAGAGACTAACCTACCTGACCTGATGGCAAAGCAGTCTGGTGAAGTGAAAACGCTGAAGACACTGCTGAGGAAATCACAGGAGCAGGAGCACAATGCATCCAGGAAGCTTAGAGAAGTGGAAGCACAACTGTTAAAGACAAAAGATACCTTGCAGGCATTGCAGAAACTTTCTGAAGACAAGCATCTTGCTGAGAGAGGGGAACTTAGACGCAGATTAGCTGTCCTCACACAAAGGATAGAAGATAGTGATAAGAAAATTCAGGTAATATGTTTAAGCTTGGGCTGTAATTTTTATTTTGAAGTAGAAATGCAATGGGGCATAATTCTACTTCAGATGTGTTTTCTATGATTGTGATGTAAATTTTTGTGGCCCTCCTAGAAGTAGTTTTTGAAGTAGCTACCTTATTTCTGTCACATGTGAATCTACATGTAACTTTGGGAGAAGATTAGATATGTCTTCTTTTTAAAAAAAATTGCTATGTTGACTTGATTAGTTCTGGCCTACTAAAAGTGCATATGGTAACTAGCTAGAAACAATACGTGGGCTGTTCAGAGTTTGCTTTAAAAAAGTTCCCACTGCTTTCCCCTAAAAAAATAATATTAAGCAAGTACTCAGCGGCTGTAATCATTATTTGATGAACACAGCTTGGCATAATTAACAGGAGCATCAGCAGCAGGAGTGGAAGGGATGTTGTTGTTGAAAATATCCTGTGGTATGGTCAATGACCTTCTAGAGGGGTGTTGCAACAATATGGGTCAATCCCATGGTCATCTTCCATAATGGAGGCAGATGTGGAATGAGGAAGCATAGCACTGCCCCTTAGTACCCCATACGTAGTCTTCAGGTGATTTGGAGAGGCTTTCAGGAGTGGCTTTCATACTCTCAGAAAACAGTGAAAAGCCATTGATCCAAAGCAGTGAGGAGCGACTGGTGTTGCAACTGTTCTGTAATTCAGTTTCAGTTGTATCTTATGTATTTGGGGTTTTTTTTAAGAGACAACAGTAGCTCGTTATCTCTATTTGCTGAATTAGCAAAATAATGCAGTATGGTTGATACTACTAGCTCCACTTTCTGGAGCCAGCAGTGACGCAATGAGTTAAACCCTTGTGCTGGTCAAAAGGTTGGTGATTTGAATCCGGGCAGCGGGGTGAGCTCCCATCTTTCAGCTCCTGCTTCTCAAGCAGGGACATGAAAGAAACCTTCCACGGGATGGTAACACATCCAGGTGTCCTTTGGGCAAAGTTCTTGCAGACAGCCAATTCTCTCACATCAGAAGTGACTTGCAGTTTCTCAAGTTGCTGCTGATATGAAAAAGCAGCTCCACTTGCTGAGGGGAAAAAGTCCTTCTGTGATGACAACTGGTTTGGGTCCAAGCTATTTGTCCAACCACATCTCCCTATGCAAACCATCTCGTGCACTGTGATCAGCAGAGGAGGCCCTCCTCTCAGTCCCAACCCTGTCACAAGTGTGGTTGGTGGGAACAAGAGGGGGGGCCTTGGGGGCCTTCTCCATGATGCTCCCTGTCTCTGGAACTTCCTCCCCAAAGAAATAAAAATGGCACCTATCCTCCTCTCCTCTAAAAAGCTTTTGAAAACACACTTGTGCACTTTGGCGTACGAAGGATGATTAGGATATTTCAGTGCTGGCTAACCTATCTGTATTTCGTTGCTGCTATGGTACATGAGAACAACCTTGGTAGTCATTTTCAAGTATTTTAATTACCTTTTCTAGGTTTTATGTTTAAATGGTTAATTTATGTTATTAGTATAATTAAGTTTATTTGACTATTCATAGTTGGTCCTCATTTTGGTGTTAATTTTTCTTTTGCCACAAATTTATGGTTATTCCTTTTGCATTATCTTGTTTATTTTATAATTGTAGTATTTGACTTCTGGGCATTGAAGTTTTGCCTGTTTTTTGTGTGTAAACTGCCCTGAGTCCCCTTGGGGAGAAAGGGCAGTCTATAAATAAAGTTTTATTATATATTATTACAACTGCTCCTCTTGGTTGCTGTTAATAGTATTTAAAGAAAAGGGAGTCTTCTCCATTCTTTTATATTTCAACAGAAATGGAATTTATTGCTGTGTTAGGATACTGACATATTGAAATTCGTTAAGAGATAATGGATTCCTCCTTATTCTTTTTTTAAAAATTGTTCCCTAAGAGGGCAGACTCCAACTCTGTGTAAATGTGCTTCTACATATGCTTTCTCCTGCACGCACAGATGCTATGCCTTCTGAAAATCTACTCCCAATTGTTCTCCATTACTTCAGCACAGATTTTCAGGGAACAAATATTGCTTTGGGAAAGAGGGACAATTACTTTCTTCCCAGTTCCATAAATAAGGTAGTGTCATCAGCAGGACTTAATTGGATTTTGTCCAGGCTGTGAATGCTGTGGTATCTCTCCTTTTGGAAACCACTTATTTCTTTCCTCACTCCTCTTACTACTCGCTTTAAACATTGAAATTTATAGATATAAAGTAATATAGCATTTTTAATCAATGAAAAGTACATTTTTATTTCATTACGAGATTCTTTATACATTTCTAATGTCACTTGTCTTTATAAATGCAATATTGTGTGATTACATATCAAAAAGGAAAGAGGGTAAAGAAAATATTATAACCCCCTTATAATATTTCTAGGACCTAGAAAAGCAGCTGGCATTGAACAACACATCCTTTAATCATCAGTTAGCAATTGAAAAGAAAAAGACACTTGAAGCTCAGCTGGTTACCACAAGTTTGAAAATGGAAATCAAGATGCTTAACCAAAAAATTAAGGTATTTTGAATTCATTTGAATTTCTTTCACTACAAAAGAGAACTATTTTCATGGAACTATTCATGTAAGGTCTTTTTTAGTTCAATAGAAATGTAACTCCCAAGACATTTTCACACTGCTCCTTTATCCTACTAGAGAAGCAGAATTGATAAAATCACTACACTGCCAGGATTGCAGTGGTACAATTTAATGTTTCAGCTCAGTTTTCATTTCTTATACTGCTGAGGTAAAATGAAAGCTAGATTGTAGGTGGTTGCTTTGGGCATCACAGATTCCACTTTGTCTACTCCAAGACTGGTAGTTTTACTTTAAATTCATGCATGTGTACGAATGCAACTTGTCAGAATTTCATTTTACTATTAAAACACATGTGCAGTGGAATGCAACGTTGTGGCGAAATGTCAAATCAATTGACTGACTACTTTTCGAGTTACGTGAGCACAAACATACACAGGCTGAGATTTTATATACTGTATAAAGACTGCACTCCCATCAATGAAAAATCAAAACAATAAAAGCTCAATCACTCTTCCTGGACCTTCCCCCGCTTGCTATCAATCCCCCCCTCCCCCGCATCTGATGATATTTCTCCCATCTTCTTCCAGCTGACTCTCTTTTATCACTTTTTATCTCTTGATCTCATTCTCCCCATATCTATCTGTCTTATTCTTCACCTGTTCAGCCATTGATATCTGAATGTTTTTTTCCAATGTTGGAACCATACCCCTCTGACAAGGTGCAATATAAAGAATAGTGTGGGAGGGTGTTTTGAAATAACACCCCCATGCTAAGCATTAGAGAAATAGCAGAAGGTCCCCAAACTGACATCGTTGTATTGTCGAAGGCTTTCATGGCTGGAATCACTGGATAGTTGTAGGTTTTTTTGGGCTGTATGGCCATGTTCTAGAAACATTCTCTCCTGACGTTTCGCCTATATCTATGGCAGGCATCCTCAGAGGTTGTGAGGTCTCTTACGAGAGAGAATTCACACCATCTGCAAAGAATTCTCAAACAGACAAGGAACTGTTGCACCTCCATATCAACATCAGCCAAAAGATGAATTCCCAGGACTGGGACAAAATAGACAACCTCAGACTTCACAACTTCTGAGGATGCCTGCCTTAGATACAGGTGAAACATCAGGAGAGAAGGCTTCTAGAACATGGCCATACAGCCCGAAAAACCTACAACAACCCAGTGACATCATTGTTTTGATGCAATTACAATAGAACACAAGTTATGGAGAAAAATGTTGTGGTACAAAGAAAAATGGGAGGATTCAAGGAAGACTCCTAAGAAATCTTTGTTCATGATGATCCTCTCAGGCCCCATCTACACTGCCATATAAAGTCCAGATTGTCTGCTTTGAACTGGATTATATGGCATTGTAGACCCATCCAGATTATCTGCTTTGATATGGCAGTGTAGATCCAGCCTCTGACTTCTTTCCCCTTCCTCAGTGGGAAATAAAGTGAGAATAGAAAGCTGGAGCAATCCCTTGACAACCATGCACACCAAATTCCCAACCTATATCTACATCAGGATACGTACCATAGAAAAGTTTTGCACTAGGAAAAAGAAGCAAACCAGCAACAGGGCTGGAGAATGGGGTGCTGCTGCTGTGCTATGAGTGCACTCAAAGTGCATTAATTGATAGGATTTTTTTGCATATTATAGGGTTCAGTGCTTTAAAATTTGTATTCTGTGTTAAAAGTGTTCTAAGCAAGATCATTGAAGTCTCAATGGGATTAAAAAATCCTTGAACTCTCTTTGAATACTATACTACTAAATTGCAAACAACTTTTGCCTGCTAACTTTAATATTGTCAACACTTTTTGCTAGATTTTTATAACTATGTTTCATAAAAATATCGGTAAATATAATTAGTTCACAGTTATCTTATTTTTTAAAAACATAATTTGGGTTGTCATTTTTACTATGGAGTGTCCCTAAAATCCACTTTTGGTATCCTTTCATAGTATACAAAAGCCAGCCTCCATTTGTTTACAAACTCTTCATTATTTTTTACCTCGAATTCGATTAAATAGCTTGGCTGTTTAATGGCCATTTCTCTCCAATCTCTCTTAGGCCCCTTCTACACTGCCATATGAAATCCAAAACTAGATTATATGGCTTTGAACTAGATTATATGGCAGTGTAGACTCAGTGTAGACTGGCGGGGACGAGAGATAGGGCCTTCTCGATGGTGGCTCCCCGGCTGTGGAATGCCCTTCCCACAGACATTAGATTAGCACTATCTCTAATGGTATTCCGCAAAAAAGTAAAGACCTGATTATTTGTGCAGGCGTTCGAATAATTTAGTGCAATGATTGGTAATGACATAGGAATGGAAAAATGGATGACGAATCTGGATCGTGTTTTTTAGTGATGAGACGCTAGTGAATGGTTATTATAGTAATTGTGTACTAACTGTATATTAGATTAGGTTGTTAAATGTGTTTTTATATTGGTGCATTGAATTTTGCTGTTTCCTGTGTGCTGTGAACCGCTGTGAGTCGCCTCCGGGCTGAGAACAGCAGTATAGAAGTAAAGTAAAGTAAATAAATAAATAAATAATCCAATTCAAAGCAGATTATCTGCTTTGATAATCTGGATTATATGGCAGTGTAGAAGGGGCCTTGGATAGCTCTTTTCGCCCTTCAAGGATTTCACTGTTATCATTCTAGCTGCTACAAAGCTGTATTGGCAAATTTCTTTATCCCCGACTTACTCCATCTCTCTAAATAATCCCAAAAGGCAGCACATTGCTGGATGTTTAACCTTGTTTATTATTGTTTTTGTTATTATTATTATAATACTAGTTTATATACTAGTTACTTGTATTACTAGTTTCCAGAATAATATACTTTCCAAGGAAGGAAATGGCTCCGTGGAGACTGGACTTAAAAGAGTAGGTGAAAGCAGACTCTCAGTGTCTGGGACACAATGGCATCCCAAAACAGAGGAGATGGTGCCAGTCTACCCAGCAGACAGTGAGAGTTATTGCAGGGAGTAAACAGCCCAGAGGTGTAGCTGGAGTAGTATATTCAGCTAATTGAGGCGCCTGGACTACATTCAATGGCAAAATTTGTGTTGAATTGAATTCTGTATTTTGTAGGAAAAAGGAAGGGAACTTGGAATTCGAAATATTTATGCAAACCGGATGCTTAAAGATCAGCAGAAGAAAAGTGATTCAGAGTCTGCCCTAAAAGGTAACATAATGTTTGATATGCCAATAATGGATTAGAGAAATGTATTTAAATAAATTGATTCCATTTATTTAAAAATGGCTCTGCTATCTCTTGTGGGGCACACTATTCAATAGGAGATCCAAAATCGAACAGTACCCTGATTATTATACCTGTTATATGTGGGGCTGCGAGAGTCTTAAAAGGAGTTTGTAGTAAAATTATGCTGTGTCTGTGTTTTGTCATCAGCATTGTCTTGCAGTCTATTTCTGTTTTAACCACTTCAAGTCCTAAAGAGCATGGGGAGATAGAAGATAAGCACTTCTTATTGTAAGTCCTAAAATCCTCAGAGGTCTCTGGATACCAAATGAGGTGATAGGTGGCTGTTAGGGAGAAGGCCTTTTCAGTAACACCACTCAGTTAAGGAAAGCCTACTTCAACACTTTCCCTGGTTCATACCCTGGTCTTTGGGTTCCCTCTAAATAGTTTTTAAAAATCCCCAGGACTTTACACTTTGACGTCCAAAAGTTATTTTAGTAATATATAGGTGGTGTATTGCTTACAGTTCAAGATTCATACATTTCTGATCTTTTTGTCATTTATATGTCATTCTTTTGTATTCTCTCACAAGAATTTTTGACATAAATCTCAATAGAATTATAGCCATTCATCACTAAGTGGTAAATAAACTTTTGGACACTGATTATTGTTTGTGGCATTGGACCAGTGTGCACCAGTGCATAGATGCCTTTAGCAATAGTAACAGTGGATTTGTTAGGGTGTTAAAGTGTCTTTCATCTCTTTTGTCCTCTAGTTAATTCATTAGTTAATTCATAAATTGTTTTATCCCCCAATCAACTGAGCTGCAGGGGGAAATTAGTGCATTTCAGAGAGCTTCAGGGTCTGTATAGACAGTAGCTGAAATCTTCATGTTGGTCCAGATTTGAATGGTGGTTCAGATGCCTGCTCCCCTTTCGTTTGAGAAATTATTGTTAAGGAAATGTTTGAACTTTAGATGAGGGCTGTAGAAACATTTTCAGTTTGAGGGCTACAACATAGGGGCAGGGCCCCACGCTGACAGTTTGTGTAGCTACTGTTCATCACTATTGCATATACATCTACCCACTGTGTTTCAGAAAGACAAAGATGGAGCAAAATTAGCTCCTGAGCTTCATTGTGAGAAGTTACAGTGGTGGCCTTTCCACTCAGCCCTATATCCCAGAATATCAGGGCAGAAAAACCCTCAATATGTGCTTTGAACTAGGTTATCAAGTCCACACTGCCACATATCCCACTTCAAAGCAGAAAATGTGGGATTTTCTGCCTTGATATTCTGGGATAAAGGGCTGTGTAGAAGGGCCCTTCTACACAGAATTCAGCCTATGGGCCAGAACACTGTCATAACACTAAATCTGGGTTCCTCTCATGCTACATCTGTCTATATTCCAGCTACACCATTACCCAAATAGAAGCAGAGTCAGCGTGATAATTTCAGTATATCTGCAGCATGTTCAGCTGAGATCTTGGCATTCTTAGGAACAATTTTATATTAAATACACTTCAGTTTATTTATTTATTTATTTAAAAACTTTTAAATATACTTCCTTCCACAGAATTAGGAATGGTAGGGTTAGGAGGAATCTTACAATTAAAATGTTTAATGCATGAAATTATTAACAGAATTTAGATCCTATATTGCATTATTTATATGAGGAAAAGCCAGGGTTAAACTACCCAAATTTAGATATACAGTGCCCCCTAGCCTTCAGTCTGAGAAAAGTGAGGTTTTCTTTTTTCTAAATAGGTCCCTTGCAGAAGATGGTATTTGATACAATGTCGGAAGATGGAGGAACAAGTAATAGAGTTTCCGTTTTCCAGTGGTAGATATTGCCAGAACTATTTACACAGTCTGTTTTTGTATCCCATCACTAAAATAATTTTTGAAAAAATACAGCTTGATATGCTATGTCAGGGATAGGTTTCATTGTTATGGATCACTTTTACTGAATGGCTCAAAAGCTACATTTAGTACAAAATACCATACCCAACATATTGATTTGCCTCCTTATTCACCTGTTGTAACTCACGCAACTCACTGCACCACCCAGAATGGAAGATAAACGTAATCTCCCTCTGGATGGTCAAGTCAAGGCACATATCTCTGTAACAAAAACTTCAGTTCTATCACAGTCAGGCCCCTTCCACACAGCTTTATAAAATCCACATTGAACTGGGTTATATGGCTGTGTGGACTCAGATAATCCAATTCAAAGCAGATATTGTGGATTATCAGCCTTAATATTCTGGGTTATATGACAGTGTGGAAGGTCCATTAATGGGGTTTAGTTCTGAACAGACTGCAATAATTCAATCTTACATTTTTGGGAATCAGTGAGATTTCATCTGCACAAATATCATCCTAACATGCATAATTTATTTTGCATGTTCTGCCAAAAGACTCTCCAAGTTGTCTACAATGATTAAAATCAATACTGAAACAAACCCATACACATCAATCTTAATAAAACAAATGACTAAAACAGAAGTTTAACTGAGTGAAAGCTCATAACTTTAAAAGCTTGGGGGAACAAAAACAGAAGACAACTATACAAAAACAAACTAACAAAATTAACACATATGTTTGGGTAGTAATGGAAAGATCAGCACAAACACAAAACAATCTATGTGTAATGTCAACATATAATGTCAAAAGAGCATATAGTATGCTATTTAACAAAATCCCGAGTACATAGCTCAATTCAGTGGCCCAAAACAAAATCAAAAGGAGCAACCGCTCTCAAATGTAACAGTTCCAGGTCTGAACAAGGGTACCACTGTATATAGGCTTCAGGGATACATACAATGAGACAAATCATACACAAAGTAAGCATAGAGTCATGAGGCTATATGTATACTGAAGTCAATAATGAAGATGGAGCACCACTCTCAAAAATCTTCATGGAATAAATCCAAATCAAGTCCAGTGAAAATGGAGCACTGCTTCTCAACATGTTAGACGACATGATCACATCGGTCACGCCAATCCCTGAGGAATACGAACATTTTATTGAAATAGTGAAAACCTGCTCACGGGCCTCTATACCGAGAGGCTGCAGAACCCACTACCTCCAGGGCATTACTCCTGAAACAGCTGCCTTGTTGGAAAACTATTACAGGCTCCACAACGAAGACCCATTTAGTGAGCAAACCCTTCAGGCAGCGCAGAGCATTGTGTCCTCCATCTCTGAAGCCAAGAAAGAACAGTGGATCAAGCTGATCACAGAGGTCGACATGGGCGGGAGCAGCCAGAAGGCGTGGAGGATGCTGAGACGGTTGAGCAACGACCCCTCACAAACTAATACCCATGCCAACATAAAGGCAGATCAGATAGCACACCAACTCCTGAAGAATGGGAAACCCAACTTTGCCACCAAAGTAGGAAAGAAACCAATAGCCAGACAACGAGAGATTGAGAACAACAACCTCCATGAACCCTTTACATCTACTGAATTGGACATGGCTCTCAACAAATGTAAGAATGGCAAAGCAGCTGGCTTGGATGATCTACGGATGGAACAAATCAAGAACTTTGGTCCAAAAGCAAGGCGCTGGCTGCTGGAGCTGATGAACAACTGCACTGCATCCTGTCAGATCCCCAAAATCTGGAGGAAAGCAAGAGTCATCGCCATCTTGAAGCCAGGCAAAGACCGTAATGACCCAAAAAACTACAGACCAATCTCCCTGTTGTGCCACCTCTACAAAGTTCTGGAGAGACTTATTTTGCATAGAATTATGGAAAAATAGACCCTGTCTGATCCCACAGCAAGCTGGCTTCAGGAAAGGCAAAAGCTGCACATCGCAAGTGCTGAACCTGACTCAGCACATAGAAGATGGCTTTGAAAGGCAGCAGATCACAGGAGCTGTCTTCATAGACCTGTCAGCAGCCTATGATACTGTGAACCACCGCCTCCTCCTGAGAAAAATGTATAATATCACAAAGGACTACCACCTCACCCGCCTCATAGGAAACCTGCTACAAAACAGGAGCTTTTTTGTTGAGTTCCAGGGCCAGAGAAGCAGATGGCGGAAACAGAAGAACGGCCTGCCTCAGAGGAGCGTGCTTGCTCCATCCATGTTCAACATCTACACAAATGACCAGCCACTGCCAGAAGGGACAGAGAGTTTCATCTATGCTGATGATCGTGCCATTACTGCTCAAGCAGGGAGCTTTGAGATGGTAGAACAGAAGCTCTCCGAAGCTCTAGGTGCTCTTACTGCCTATTACAGGGAAAACCAACTGATCCCTAATCCATCTAAAACACAGACATGAGCCTTTCACCTTAAGAACAGACAAGCATCCCGAGCTCTGAGGATTACCTGGGAAGGAATCCCACTGGAGCATTGCAGCGCACCCAAATACCTGGGAGTCACTTTGGACCGTGCTCTGACCTACAAGAAGCACTGCCTGAACATCAAACAAAAAGTGGGCGCTAGAAACAACATCATACGAAAGCTGACTGGCACAACCTGGGGATCACAACCAGACACAGTGAAGACATCTGCCCTTGCGCTATGCTACTCTGCTGCTGAGTATGCATGCCCAGTGTGGAACACATCTCACCACACTAAAACAGTAGATGTGGCTCTTAATGAGACATGCCGCATTATCACAGGGTGTCTGCGACCCACACCACTGGAGAAATTACACTGCTTAGCCGTATTGCACCACCTGACATCCGCCGGGAAGTAGCAGCCAATAGTGAAAGGACCAAGGCAGAGACATCTCCAGCTCATCCCCTGTTTGGGTATCAGCCAGCACGTCAACGACTTAAATCAAGACATAGTTTTCTTAGATCTACAGAGACACTCGCTGGAACACCCCAGCAAGCGAGAGCCCAAAAGTGGCAGGCCCAAACCCAGCACCTCAATTCATGGGTGATACCAGATGAGAGACTCCCCCCTGGGCACTCAGAAGACTGGGCGACTTGGAAGGCGCTGAACAGATTGCGCTCTGGCACCACGAGATGCAGAGCCAATCTTAAGAAATGGGGCTACAGGGTGGAATCCTCGGCATGCGAGTGCGGAGAAGAACAAACCACTGACCACCTGCTGCAATGCACCCTGAGCCCTGCCACATGCACGATGGTGGACCTTCTTGCGGCAACCCCAGAGGCACTCCAAGTGGCCAGATACTGGTCAAAGGACATTTAACCAAATACCAAATTTGCAAAATCTGTGTGGTTTTTTTTTCCTTTCTTTTTTTTCTTTTTCTTTTTAATCTCTGTGTTTGTTTTGCTCTGTTAGAATTGTAATACAATGGTTGCTGATGACACGATAAATAAATAAATAAATACTGCTTCTCAAAATAAGTCTCTGTAGGAAAAGTCCAAATGGTATTCAACAGGGGTGCCCGGGTATTTTTGTACCCTGTTTCGGGGAAAGAGATCCCCTTCTTCAGGAGTTGAAGTAATCAGCAACTCTAGACTCTTATCTATAACAAAATATAACATAACATAACATAACATAACATAGAGTAACAAGTATTCTCCAGCAAAATTACAGAAGTAAAAATAATCCATACAACAAGCATATATACTCACATCATGCCAGATAGCATTTACAAAAAGTGACTCTGCTTGTAGTACATTCACACTGCGAGTAATTCTGAAGGTTCAGCCACAGGTTTATAAAGAGTAATTAGAAACTTAAAGGAAACAGCTAAAATTAAGTGACTCATTAAGTCCCTGAGGGGAAAAGGTTTTCAACTTAAAGGTCCAATACATTTCCCTTTGGGATAGTAGTTTTTCCAAGTCCATATGGGGTTTTGGAATGATGCATTCCAGAGCACAAAATTTAAAGGAGTTGGGTGAATGTTTGTATTGTGTAAAGTGTGAATATAGGAGGGACTCAGTAGATAAACATTTTATTCTGGATTTATGTTCAGACATTCTAATTCTCAAAGGTCTGGTTGTTTTTCCAATATACCACAAACCACAGTCACATGCTAAAAGGTAAATTAAATTACTGCTGTTGCACGTGGAAAAATGTTTAAGCGTGGTGCCCACTTTGTTCCTGTAGTTGTGGACCTCCTTGGTTTTCCATGATTGTGGACAACATTTACAGCGTCCACAGGGGTAATGGCCTCTCAAAGTGCTTTTAGGTGTAGTGGTAGAAGTGATTAAATCTGTATGGATTAACAAGTCTCTTATATTTCTGGTGCGTCTATTACCGAAAATGGGTGGTTTTTGGCAACCTGGGATATCTTGAAGAAGATGCCAGTGCTTTTTAATAATCTGGGTGATCTGTTTGGAATAAGGTGATAATTCTTGTGTCCAAATAATTTGATTTTTTATGGGTTTAGGGCATTCTTTCAGTAAAGTAGTCCTATCTATTTTATCAGCTTTGATTAATGCTTTTCTTATTACATGTTTAGGGTAGCCTCTGTTTCTGAACTCATGGCTTAAAGTAATGCTTTCCTGAAAAAACTGTTCCTTGGTGCTTGAGTTACGTTTCAGTCTGAGGAGCTGTGAAAATGGAAGATTGGTTTTTAAGCTAAAGTGGTGGAAGCTGTTGTAATGAAGATATGAATTTTTATCTGAGGGTTTTCTAAAATTCTTGACCAAAAGTTTATTGTGATGTTTATATACTGTAACATCCAGAAAATTAATATGTGACAGGTTGAAATGGCTGGTGAACTTGATGGACATATGTATAGTGTTGATCCAATTTGAATATCCTACTGCGGCCTCGGTTGATTTGAATATCAAGAATATGTCATCAATGAATCGTCCATAATATATAATATTGGTGTGATACATATTTAAAGATGGATTTAATAATACGGTGTTCTCTAAATTTGCCATAAATAAATTGGCAATTGAGGGGGCCAATGGACTGCCCATTGCCACACCAAAGACCTGAAAGTAAAATTGATTTTGAAAACGGAAATAATTTTTCTCTAAAACTATATCCAACAGGTCCATAAGGAAATGTGTGGGTGGATGTAACTTGGTTCTGTTATGGAGGACATTCTCTATGGTGGTACGGGCCTCATCTAATGGAATGTTGGTGGTATACAGTGAAGTGACGTCAATAGTTACTAAAACACTATCCTCCTCTATTTTGAGATTTTCTATAACATTAATGAAGTGCTTAGTGTCTTTGATATAGGAGTCACAGAGAGGGACAAAGGGTTGGCAAAAAGAGTCCAGATACTTAGCGACTGGTTCCAACACTGAAGATGAACCTGAAATAATGGGTCGGCCTGGCGGGGGGGGGGGGGAATAACACCTTTATGAATCTTTGGTAAAGTATAAAAGATTGGTATTCTAGGGAATTCTTTCTGAAGATATTTAAATGTGGAAGAAGAGATAAATCCCAGGGATAATCCCTCTTGGCACACAACCCTAATAAGGGACTGTATGTGTTTAGTGGGGTCTGTAGCAACAGGTTTATAAAATTTACTATTAGATAACTGGCAGTTGATTTCCTTAATGTAATCTTTTTTGTTGAGTAGCACTATAGCTCCCCCTTTGTCTGCTGGTTTCCAGACTACCTCTTTAAGGTTACTCAGTTTATTCAAAGTGGTTTTTTCAATGTCAGACAAATTAGAATGGAATGGTTGTCTGTGGGTGATTAACTTATTGAAGTCCCTCTCTACTACTTTTTCAAAGCACTTGATATGTATGCTGTCTGTGGAGGGGCAAAACTTGCTTTTAGGTTTGAAGGGCTCTATGGTGGAATTGGGTATGCTGTTTGTGAAAACCTCTCTTAGGCGGATGGTTCTAAACAATTTAAATAAATCTATGCGTGCTCGGAATGCATTAAATTTTGGGGTGGGAACAAATGATAGACCTTTATTTACTACTGACCTTTCTAAATCTGATAACTTGTAATCGGATAGATTGACAATCAAGTCAGGCGTCTTCGATTTTGGCCCCGTCGAAAAAAAGTAGTGGAGGAAGACCGGGAGGATGATCGGTTCATATTTCTTTGTCTATTAGGTCGTCTTAAAGAAGGTGTGTCAGAGGCTTCAGAGCTTTCAGTTGTCCTCCCTGGGTCTTCCTCTGTGGAGGAATCTGCAGACTGAGGATGAAAACTGACTCTTCTCCTAGAGGGGGCTTGCTCTTTGTCCAATAGCCATGGGTAGACTCGATTGGACAGATAATCATTGCGATCTCTATCAAATTTTTTGATTTTAAATTCCTTCACCTGGTTATATAAATCACTACATTTTTTGTCAAGAGTCTCAAGCATGGTAGGAGAAGTTGTGTCTTTCATAATGTTTTCCATAAGATTAGTAATTTTAGTTTCTCCTTCCTTAATAGTGGCATTGGATTTCATAATTAGTAGGGCCATCAAATCCAAAGAGCATTTATTTAGAATCTTAACCCATTGTTGTAAGAAATCCTTGTCTTCTTTAAACATGCCAGGTGGTTTATATATCCTTAGTCCTCTAGGGATCATGTTATTTCTTATATAGTCAGCTAACGTGGAGGCATGAAGATCCAAGCGAATATTTCTTTTTTTCAATTTTTCTAAATCATTGAATAAATTGCTGGTCTGGGAAGACTCAGCTACCGGTACATGGTCAATGACTGACCTATTTTTAGTAAGAGACATGATGTCTTCTTTTTCAAAACTCAAAGTACCGAGCCAGTCATCCATATTAATATGGTAGTACAACTATACAATATCCCAGAGTACTTGTAGGGTATCAGCACAAACACAAAACAATCTATGTGTAATGTCAACATATAATGTCAAAAGAGCATATAGTATGTACTCGGGATATATATGTACTCGGGATTTTGTTAAATAGCATACTATGTGCTCTTTTGACATTATATGTTGACATTACACATAGATTGTTTTGTGTTTGTGCTGATACCCTACAAGTACTGTGGGATATTGTATAGTAGTAATGGAAAGATAACATGTAGATACTGAGTAAACCTCCCTAGTAGTTAGTTCTGTAAAGAGGATTTCTCTTTGATCACCACCCACCTCACACAAGATTATGGGACCACCTAGAAGAGTGTGGGTCTGAGGGATATCAGCAAGCTGGCCTTGCAACAGGCATCAAGTGTATAGATGTCAGGTCATGCAGGGTTTTAAAGAAAAACAATATCAATTTGAAATGTGCTGAGAAACAGACTGGAAGTCAGTTAAGCATCAGCATAATATCATCCCCGCTATTGGCCATATTCTGAACTGTAGTTCTTTGGCTATCTTCAAAAGTTCCACCATGTACTCACTCTTGGATGGTGCCAGTGTACAGAGTATCATAGCCTGTGATCAGGAAAGGAAAGGTCATGCTGTTGCCTGAATTGCTCAACCATAGAAGTGGTTTGGGACTCCAGAGACAAATTAAGTCCTACAGATCTGATCCTAAAGGCGATGGCTCCCAACCTTTGGTCCTCCAGGTGACTGAAACTTCAACTCCCAGAAGAGACAGTCACCTTAACCAACTGTCAGGAATTCTGGGGGCAGAAGTCCAAAACATCTGGAGGAACAAAGGTTGTGAACTATTGCTCTAAGGGAAATAAGAGTATAACCCAAAATACCTTTTGTTTTCCTTGTATATGAAGAAGTAGTGTCTGTATCCCATTAAAAATAGTCTTAAAGGTGCCACAGGATTACTCTCCCCCCTTTTTTTCTGAACAGACCAACACAGTTACTTTTTCTAAACATTTCCTTACCATACCTGTATCTTGTCAGAATTCAGTTTATTGCCCTTTATCTAGTTCATTGACATCTTAAGCCATGAATGTCAGGCTACCGACCTGTAACTGTCGTTCTTCAAGTGAATGTCTCTGAACTCACACATATGGGTCACACTGCACCTGTGCAGCCTGACTAGAGTAAAGTTGTCTTTTGATAGTAGCCATACTGCCTCCATTACATATGTTTTAGCCTTTTCTCAGCCAGTTTTCTCCATTCCAGTCAACCATAATAGCACACTGTCTCAAAAGATTAAGCAAAATACAGATGAAATGAATGGAGCTGAGCCGGTTATGTGAGTTTGCAAGTGACGATTCAAAACATCTCTTAGTTGTCTTTAATGAGGCAAGCTGGTAGAAGAGGTGCCAAGAAGGCATCTCGAGTTGATGTCTTGGGGGATGTGGATAGTGACACGTAAGCTGTCTAGTTAGACCTCTCCACCGAGGGATCTGGCTCAAAATGGCACTACAGATGGCCAGTCTGTACTGAGCTGCTCTATCATAGATGGAGGTTGAGAGCAGATCTAGTCTGATTACTGTGGTAAGTTTAGAGGTCTTAAAGGTAACCTCTCCAAGAAAGACCCTAAAGTTGGTTTTTATCATATTTGTTTAGTAAAGGCCAGCTAGTATGAACCTTTGCTGTCCGCATGGACCTCTCTGAAACATAATGTGTGGCTGGAATGATTGTGCATTTATAATATACTCTTTATGCTCTTAAGCCATTTTAAAAAGAATCCTTTTGATACCATAAGCCCATTCCCAAACTAAAAGTGAAATAAATCTTATGAAAAGAAAAAAAATACTGGGCATTGAAAGGAGTGAAAGAGAAGAAAAGAAATGACAAAAAGCGACCAAAAGTAAGAGAAAGGGGTGATTTTAAGATGAGTGTACACATTCTCTTGTTAGTTCTACACCAGATAAAAGGAAATTGAGGAGATTGGGTGGGGATGAGTTAGAGCACTGCTTCTTAAACTGTGGTCCCGAGCCCAAATGTGGTCCCCTTAGCTAAATGTTAGGGTCCCTAAAAAATTGGCAATAGCAAACATTTCCTGAACGTCCGCAGGTAACTGTTTTAGAAATTTACATGAATCTGTTGTCCAGTGTTTACAGTGGACTTTGCAGAAGATGCTTCAGCTGCGCTTCAAAAAAAAAAAGGAAAACCAGCCTGTTTTGCAAGCCTTGCAAATGCCGATTCATTATCAGTAAATGTTTGATTTTCATACCTATTTTATATACCTTTATATCTGGGGTCACACAAAAATTTCTCAGGTCAAAAAGGGTGTCGAGTTAAAAGGTTTAAGAAGCCCTGAGCTAGAGAATGCCTAATAGATGGCACGGGACAACTGCCAAAAGATTGCCTAGCTGTACAAAAGAGATGCACAGAGTACAGGCTCTGAGCACATGCAATTTAAGGGCAGTTTTTGAGCCCCCTGCTCCCTCAACCAAGAAAAGTACCCCAATGGTTCCCTTTCAAATGGCATCTAATGTTATAGTGTATTGGAATTGTGGGAGTTGAAGTACAAAACACCTGGAGTTCTAAAGTTTGCCCATGCCTGGTGTAGTGTAACTCGTATGTGTGAATCAGAGACCTTGAAGGAAAAAATCATCTCAATGTTAACTTTGTTTTTTCCCCACAGAAACTAATGTCAACAAATCAGTACAAGTAGATCTATATTTGGAAGGGGTGCCTTTTCAAAAGCATGAAAGAAAGCAAAATGCAGTTCTTTCCAAAGAGGTATGGAATTTATTAAAACGAACCATTCTTTATAACATTTAATTCAGTCTATATTATTTTTCCCCTATTACTTGCACATTATCTTGATAATGTCCTTGTACAGCAAGTGTGCAAAAATGTTAGACTGGAGCAACCATCACCCTCAGTTGGGATGATGCTCAACACATCTGCCAAAAAATCCTGTCTTTGCTGTAGTCTTAGCTTTAAGGTGTTAATTAGTTTGTAGCATTGTTATGTGGAATAGAAAAAAGAGAGAAAGTGGTCTCATTTCCTTGCAGTTTTTCTTCATATCAGCCCTGCTGCAATTCAATCAACTGTTCATTCCAAATATTAAAGAATTTTTTTTATTTGAAAACATGGAAAGCTATAAATAGTACTGACCTGGCGAGACCAGTGGTCTGACTCAATATTAAGAGCCGGGCTTTAGCACAGTTGGTAAATAACCAGCAATGATAAGATCTATCAACTGAAAAGTTGCCAGTTCAAGGCCCAGGTTGGCGTGAGCTCCTGACTGTCAGCCCAGCTTACTGTTGACTTAAGCAGTTCGAAAACAGCTTGAGCTGTAATTAGAGAAATTAGGTACTGCTAATACAAGCAGGGGAAGTATTTTATGACACCATAAAGGCACTAAACAGCTGGACTTGGACAAAACATACCATACCTCCTTTTTGTTCTGTCTCTGTATTAACTATCCAAAAACTGCATTGAATGTTTGCTGTGTATGTGTACTATGATCCACTCTGAGTCCCCTTGGGGAGGTAGGGCAGAATATAAATAAAGTATTATTATTATTATTATTATTATTATTATTATTATTATTATTATTATATTAGACAGTCCCCATATTCCTGTAGGCTTCTCACCCTTATAGCAATTTCTTTGTTCTGTTGTTGCTGAAGTACATGGAGTAACAACCCCTATAAGATGTATCTGAGTTGTAGCCTTAACAGAGTTTGTGAGGAAGCCATTCCCTGACTAGCTCATTTTGTGCCTCTGTGAGTTTCATGTTCCAGCCAAGGTCCAAACCCTTTATAATCCCTTATAATACTGGCCCATACCAATATCTTTGGACTTTAGTGTGTGCCAGGACTCATGCAATCCTATTCGCTTTAGCCTCTTCACACTAAGGATGAGAGTAAATCCAGATGAAATGCCATTCTTAAACTTACATTAATCATGGAGTTAAAACACTCCCAGTTTATTATAGGTGACAAGGTCAAAGCTTGGGAAAAGACTTGAAACATGAAACCAGTTTTAATGATTCATTGCTATTCATAGATATTCAAAAGCTAAAGCATGAACCTGTAATGGCACTTTCTTATTTGCTGTGACTTTTTTAGGAGGTGACAACGAAAGACACAAGTGCAAAAGATAAGCTAAACAATGTATATAAAGAGATGGAACGAAAAGCAGAAATTCTTCAAACGGAAACATTACCATTGCAGGAAGTTTCAAATAGAACATGTTCAGGTATTTTAAAGAAATTTTCTGACCTGATAGGACTCTAAATCTTCCCCATTCAACAAATTTTCTTGATCATTCTACCATTTTGGTCTCTTGTGTGATGGTTGGTAATATGTCAATACTATATTTATGATTTTCTGGTATCCAGGGAACATGGCATCTAGAGATGTTATTTTAAATTTTTGAATATATCCTGGAAACTATGTGAAAAATCATTGTGAAATAAAAGGCATGTTGTTTTCTGTTAATTTGGTTTCAATCTATGGAAATGCTATGACTGAGACCTCCAAGGCTCCTGGTAATCCACAGCCCTACTCAGATCTTTCAAACTTACAGTTGTTGTTTGCCTTCATGTATGGCAACCCTAAGCTTTTCTTCATATTTTTCTTTGTAGAATGTGGCGGGGGTGGGGGGTCCTTTCTCTGAGGCTGGGGAAGTGTGAGTTACCCAAGTTCATCCAATGGGTTGCCATGGCTGAGCAAGGATTCAAACCTGGTCTCCTAGTCCAACATTCAAACTACTGCACCATTTTGGTGCTTTGCAAACTCACTGCTTTGGCTTTTTTTGATTGAATCTGCAATGTCCTTGTCATCACATAATAGCCCAAATGTTGGTTTCTAATTCAGTAATTTGAGGCAAGTTCAGACATTATTTGCATTACGTATTTGTCATTTTTGTATTTAGTGGTGAATTCTCCTCCAGTACTAAAATTTTAAAGGGCTGAATTTTGTCATGTTATCTATCACAACTATGTGTAGACACAGAATATTATGACTTTGGCATCTAACATATATCTTTACTCTTGAGGGTCATATTTGGTTCCCACATAGCTGCTTTTCTATTTCTTAGTAAACTTTTGATTTCTTCAGCCTCCATTTTGATTGGTGATTGAGCCAAATTATAGAAAATAGATGTTTAGTGACATTATAATTAGGTAAACCTTTTGTGATCATTTCTTGTTTTGTTAATATGTACCTGTAACTATATTGATGTACTTCCTTTCTTAACTTATACCAGTACTTGTTCCAAGTTTCTGCTATTGCTGCCATTTGTATATATCTTCAGTTGTTGACATTGCTTCCTCCAATTTTCATGCTCCTTCATCTGAGCCTCATCCCACTTTCCATATACAGTAGAATCTCGCTTATCCAACCTTCGCTCATCCAATGTTCTGTATTATCCAGTCTGCCTCCCGCCCGGATCCACAGCTGTTTCAATACATTGCGATGTTTTGGTGTTAAATTCATAAATACGGTAATTACTACATAACGTTACAGTGTATTGAAATGCGTTTTCTGTCTTGTTCATTTGTTCAATCGCTTCCGACTCTTTTTGCTGTTTAATTTGTAAAATCATAACATAATTTGACATTTAATAGGCATTTCCTTAATCCCTCCTTATTATCCAACATTTTTGCTTATCCAACGTTCTGCCGGCCCGTTTATATTGGATAAGCAAGACTCTACTGTAGTATGTTCAGACAGTATATAGTATTGCATCTTTTGGCACAGTACTAGCAAGAGTAAGCTATGATGCCAGTGCTATCGACTCTTGAGACTCTCATACACACACCTACTACTACTACTTTTACTGTCCAGTAGCATCCCTCATTATGGTAAGATGTTCAGCATATTATTTTGTCTCAACAAAAGTCTGTCTGACCTGCTATATGAATATAGCCTCTTGCATCTGTAACTGGATTAGTCTAGGACAAAAAGATAGTTCCATAGTTGTAGTTGTATATTAAAACATATAATCCTCCATTGTACTAATTCTCGGATATACATGAAGGATGATTTTAATATTTCTGAATGTAGGGACAAGCATTGTGCAGTTCTTTTGTTGATAAACAGCAGTTTGTGGCATTGATTATGCTGGCAAGGGTTGCATCTGGAGGACTACACAATTCTAGCCCGTATTTTAATGATGAAATTTAGCCAGCCCATTACTGCTTGGATTGACTGCCACATTAAGGAAATGGACTATCTTCTCCCAGAAGCCAATAAAAGTAAAGTACTTCTCTCCTATGCAGCTAAACAAAAATCCCAGAGTCTTATCAATCCCAGGGTCTTATCAATTTCACAGCCTTTTTTTCAGTGGACAAATGGGCATGTTTCCCACACCCACTGGCAACTGATTTAAGGAGTGTAAACTCCTAAGGGAATCTGCAGCTACTCAGTATTGTTTCTTGTGTTCTTTTGTTTAATACAGATATTGTATCATTAATTGGATAATTATTGTATAATCCTATTTTGCCTGAATTCTTGGAATACTCACTGCTGAAATAATATTTTTGCAGAGATATTTGGGGAAAATTCACCTCTAAGTAGAGAAAGACAGAAGAACAGAAGAGAAAGGCAAGGGTTAGACTTATTGAAAGAAGAGTTTGAGAAATTATGGACAGAAGAATCAGTCCTGTCTACACATGAAATTCAGCAAAAAGAGAGCTGCCTGGGGGAAGCTCCAATTGAGAATCAAGAACATGAAAACAAAACAGGAGAGCCAAAAGAAGCAGTAAATGAAAAATTGACAACAGTAATACCAAGACCCAGAACACCATCTAAATTAAAGAAACATTACATATTTACAGAAGCTGTTGAAAATTTGCATCAAGGATTCCCTTCAACAGGACGGCTGTCCACTGCAAGCACTGCATGTAATAATAAACATGGAAACAGACTCCGAAGTGACATAGCAGAATTTAAAGCAAGTGATTCTTCTACTACTGTTTATGAGCCATCCTTTGGGAAGATGAGCAAACCAAAACGGGACATTTCAGTACTTGGTGAAGAGCAGATTTCTATGGTATCAGTGGAGAAGAAAAACACTCTTATGGAAGAACTCTTTGGGCCTAACTCCATTTTGAAAGACAGAAATTCGCCTATTTTTAAAAAGGCGGACAAGGAAAAAAAAACTTTACAGAATGAAAAGATTTGCAATGACATTTCATACATGCATGATGGTTTGCAGTGTGGTGATTCCAAACAAACTCCTATAAAGGTTTTTGATACCTTCTTGGAAAATCTTAACTGAGCTATTTTAACAGTATTTTAAAATGACTGAAAAGCAATGTAATTTAATTCTTTCTGTGGATTGTTTGCCCCCTTGAATGTAATTTAAATTACTCCCCTACAGTCTTCTGCACATATAACAGAAACTGGTACTTCTTCACCAAAGAAATCACACACAATATTTTATATTTCAAAATAAAACATGCTTTACTATGCCAGGCAGTATGTTTAAGAATCTAAAAGAAAGATCTCTGTACTACCAGAGAAGGCATAAAAATAAGACAGTTAAAATGCTTTGAAAGAATTGTATTGAATAGGGATTTGTGCAAATCTTGATTGTGGAAAAAAAGTAACAAATGTCTATTTTCCAGTACATAACTTCTGCTGATTCCATTCTAGGGCGTCTCTTAATAAATACCGGTAAAACAGTTAAAATACATACATAGCTAAAATCAGGGAAGTGAGGGATGAAGATTGGATGAACTGGGATTTACAATATTCCGATAACAACAAAAATCTGTGTAGGATTTATGTAATCTAGTATGAACATATCTTAAAGCTGATCAAACTGCTGTAAATTATAGCAGAAACTGTGGGTACAACAGGCCTACGGCCAAAAAGATAGTACTCACTTTCATTAACCAAATTACACTGTCAGTTTCATCTCACTATATGAGCCTACATGCAAAGAAATGTTATAGCAATGCCTATTATTATAATTGCAATATATACATTTTTGTTTACTGTCTTCCTAATGCATCTCACTAATATATTTTAACTTTTTCTTCTAATGAAATATCTTTTGACTATTGTACTACCTATAGCTTAGTTTTCTTTATCGTCCATCACAGAATAATGGAAATTACAAGTTACTGTGTATGCATCAAGGAACATATCAGACTTCAGAACTGAGCACCATTTTGTTTCTAACCCTAACCCTAGTTTATCCTCCTACCATTGTTTTACTTAGAATCAAGCAGTTGCAATAGCAAATCGGTTCTCAGTGGTGGAGGAACATCTGCTCTAACAAACAGATCCAGCATAGCTGATTACAGCACATGGATGACACCTAGAAGCAGGGAAGGTTTGGGGTGACACTTGTCATATTCCCTTTATGGGAATATGATGACTAGTTATCTTAGGTGGAAATGGATGATACAAATATGAACCGATTCATACACAACACTTTTGTTGGAGAATTTTTTCATATATATTAACTGAGGTACTTGTACTGTGTAATCACCAATATCCTTTAAACTACAACTACTTTTGGGGAAGAAACCGTGTACCCCAAAATGTTCTAATAACCTGGATTAATAAAGTTTCTAACACTCACAAAAAGTCAACAAAACACATTTCCACAAACACTGTGGAGACAAGTATTCACTATCTAGTTCCATGAAGCATGCAGAAAGCACTGTTCCCCAGATGCTACACTGTTCCCCAGATGTTACAAAAAGCACTGTTCCCCAGATGCTACTGTTCCCCAGATGTTACAGAAAGCACTGTTCCCCAGATGCTACACTGTTCCCCAGATGTTACAGAAAGCACTGTTCCCCAGCTTGAAAGGGGAATTTACACTTGGTTCATCAAAAAAGATTTGCCATAAAAAAACAAGTTGAGAGTTTTGTGTGTTTAAAAATGTCAACACTTCTAGAATACTGTTGTTACATGTCATTTTCTAATGTTGCAATACTGTATACAGTGATTTCAAAATGTAATAAATGAAGTCTAAAACCCTTTGCATCTCTATTTAGATTCTAGACAAATTTAATGAGAAACTAGTTTTAACAACACCAATATTTAAGTGCAGAAGATGAAACAAGGGGCATATTAATGGCTCTCCACATTTGTGGGTTTGGCATTCACTATTTTGATTCCAATGGCCAACACACATTTTGGTGCCTTAATCATTACACCTGTTTCTGCTGATTTCAAAAATGACACGTTTCCCCTATCAGCTCTAGTTTTTGAGATACAGAACATATGCCATATATCACAACCATATCCAAGAAACTAGAGCCCATGCAGTCTTTCCAATGCAATTTTCTGAATCAGTGCCACAAATAACCCCAGGAACAGGCCTAGAAACAAAGACACCAAGATTTTGTGGTGGGGGGGGAGGGGTATTCACAGGTTCAGGTTGAGGAAACAGTGATTTCAGTCGTCATCCACCCCCATCAACATCTACAAATTGTTGGAAATTGTTCATTTTTTTTCTTTCCTGGCATTGAAGTCCCCCTTCTGCAGGTTTCTCAGGGCCCTTCTACCTGCCTTAACTGTAATATATGGTAATGTGGATTCAGACAACCCAGTTCAAAGCAAGTATTGTGGGATTTTCTGCCTTGATATTCTGGGATATGGGGGCTGTGTGGAAAGGCCCTCAGAAGTGGGTATCTTATTCGGTGGCTTTGGGAATAAAGGAGGTATGAGGACTGGGTGAACAGAGCAGGGGCAAAACGAGTCCCTGGTCGGGCAGGAGGAAGGAGCAATCAAGGGGAGCCCTCCCCTCTCTACTCCCTCTGAAGGGGGTGCCAGGAAGAGGAAAGAGACTGGGATTCCTGTGCTTCCCTGGATATTGCAGGTACATAAAGGCCAGGAAGAAGCACAAATGAAGGACGATTCAAAGGTGGTGAGGGAGCAGACGGGTCAAGCTTGGATACTGGAAGAAACAGCTCTCAGGACCCAGCTGCAGTTTTTGCTAGGTTATCCCCACCAGACCATCTCTCCCCTTGCCAAACCCAGGTATAGTGCCAAATACATGAAATTAAGTGTCTATTGTGGGTGCGGGGGGGGGGGGGGGGGGGAGCACTATGGAAGCATCAGCACACAAGTCCATTCCTTGTTAAAATCTGAAACACATTCAGGTACACACTCAGATACAACTTGGCGCATTTTTGTCCAAACTTTGTTGATTTTAAGGCTTTTCGGATGTGATCAGTTATAAATAGGTGCAAATTAACTATTCCAATTTATTGAAATAAGATATGAAAGGGCTGTGAAGGACAGATATTTTCCCCCCATATTTACATATGTAATAGAAAGGAAAGGGAGGGGACCCACAAACCAGAACACAGCTGCCCTCCTTGCTATTCCTCTACCCACCCCACCCTTTCACCTGCATGTATATACAGCTTTGCTATAGTCAAACAGATGCTTTTAAATTGCTACTCTGCTCCACCTGATTTTGGAGAAAATATAGCAACCTCCACACCTTCTGGCTATACAAACAAGCCTTGCCTACTGGAGATATTCACAGTTTTTCCACATTAGGATTCTCCATCCACAACTGTAGAAGGCTGAATGTACATGGTTTTGATGCTAGTTCTGAGCTTACCAAACACCAAAGTGACCTGTAATCAAAACCAAACTCCCAGTAGTCAAACATAGAAAACACCTACATTAAGTTAAACTTTAAACATTGTTTTATGAACTGCTTATTTTTTTCTCAAGCAAAAAAAATCAATTTCATCTTTTTTCTTAAATATGTAATATATCTCAAGGACACTGTACAAACATGTTCAATGTCTCCTCTTTTAATACTCATTGCATAAAAGAACTCTTTTAAGAAAATGACACAATTAAACCACTATTGATTTTAACAAAATCTGAGTATATTAAAACTGTACAGAACCAACAAACAACCAGATCTTGCGGAATATATGTAGGACAATACAAATACGTTACATAAATATTAAAACAAATACATTACATAAATATTAATACCATCTTACAAAAAATAAATTATGAGTGTTTTATTATTTGCTCCTAAAACCCGCCCCCTTTCATAGATGTTTAACATTCCAGATGTTGCAAGACATGTACACTGTCTTTCATTAACAAAGAGAACACATTTGAAAACATGGTGATAATTGATAGGAGAACAGCGAAATGTGGATTCTCTCTCAGCTGAAGGGATGAAGCATGATGGCCACAACTTTGTTGCATACCACCAACCAGCATGTAATGCCAACACCACCTGAAAATGAGACAGGGACCCTGTAAGTAATTAATACGGTCAAAAATATATGCCAGTTCAGGCAGTCCACAAATTACATACAAAATAGTTTCTGTAGGTTTGTTCTTAAGTTGAATTTGTATGTAAGTCTGAACAGGTACATTTGTAAATGTTATTCCAGCTAATATATACTGTGTAATATATAAGCTTTGGATAACATAAGGAAGGGTTAACACCTCTGTGGTCTTAGTTTTACTGTCTGCCTCTTTTCAGATGATTTCGCCTCACTTTCTGTCTCCATGATAATTTTAAAAAACAATTGGCTTATTGTGGAAACAAGAACTGGTGATATAGCTCCAGTGGAGGCACATTTTCTCATTGAGAACTATTACAGAAGTTAACTTCCTTTCTGATTGGTAGATTTCTCTCACTTCCTGTTGTCTTGCTTCCATTCTTAATTAAGAGTAATTTGAAAATCAGATGTTTGTATACAAGAAGACTATTCTGGTACCAAGACAAGATGATAGCACATCAGTTAAAGAAAAACATATGCCTATGAAGAGATTATGAGACAGAAAAACTGCATGAATCAAGGACCTCCACTAAATAATTTGGGGACCTGAAGAGATTATCATAATCCACCAAGATCTTCCCTGATGAAACTATTAAAGAAACTATTTATTCAAGGTGAATTGTAAAAGTGAAGTTCCAAATGAAATCCCTGGTAACAAACAAACAAACAAAACAAAACAATTGTCACTTCTACCCAGATCATTTACTGCAGTTCAAAGCTAGTGTCAACAAGCTTACACAAAAACGTGCAAAAAAAGCCCTTAATGTACTTCAGTGCTGGTTTATATAATCATCTGGGCCTCAAACAGGTTCAAGGATTTCCTATGGAGTTATCTGCACAGCAGAACCGCTTTCTTCAATACCAGTCTGAAATTGCATTAAATGGGTCAATACAGATGGGGCCAATGTTAAAAGTAAAAGTGTGATCTTCAATCTGAGAATGATTCTTTTGTGGAGTAACCTAATACACACTTGAAGGGAAACCTTCAAGTGTGTGAACAAATTCCTAATTTTGAGAATGGATTAGGGTTAGATTGCCATAGATACTGAAGCATTACATATGCCATTTCATTCTATTTTAAGGTGACAAAATGGCATTAGGTGACCCTTCAATATGTGTTTATCTCTTAAAATACTTACTCCATAGTGGTCATGGGCCCAGTATTTGTGTCATCCATTTATTTTGTGTTTCCCTTTCACACCATCCACTCGGATGGCACGAAATGGTACACCTCCTCTGGTATGGAAACCTCAGTGAAACGAAATGGTAACCATTTGGACACCTGATTTTCATCCATTGACGGCAATAGGCGGGCTTCCCACACTCACCTTTCCCTCAGTTTTAAGGTTAGAGGGTCTCACCATTTCACTGAGCCTCAGGCTCTCTCCAGCATTCATTTGAGTTGTTAGGGTTGGTGGGATAAACCCGTCTCTGAATCCCGATAGGCAAAATAAAGTCTGTGGCTCATTGATGCTGTTTTTGCAGCCCTTGGCTCTTTTTTGGGCTCTATTACCTTTTTAAATGGGTAGCAAGCGCCCCCCCCCCCCCCGGTACTTTTCAACGCACAGTAACTTGGAAAGAGTGTGTGTGGCTTGCAGGCCCGAAGTGCCCGCAACTGCCAGGGGTTTCAGCCGAGCGCAAAATAAGAGGCTCTCTGTGCTCCGCTTGGCACTCGGCTGAAAGCCCTGGCAGTTGCAGGCGCTTGGGCCTCATTCAGAAAGGCCCTGTTTAGGAGGCAGCACTCAAAAAATGAAAACGGAGCCATATGAATGAAACAAACAGAAACAGATAGTGATTCTACACAAAAGCACAAGACTACTCCATAGCACCTGTAATCATGTGGGAAGCCAGTAATCTCTAGTGACAAAGTCATAATGCTGTAAATGAGGATTAAATAAAGTGGGTATGGAAATCAGTGTTTGCCTTGCAACTCTTTGAACGCTGCAGAGGCTACCAAAAAGGGTGGGAAATGGCTAGAAATCTACTTCTGAAAAGAAGTATTTTTTAAAATGTAAAATAGCATAGGCTTGAGGAGCTGCAATGTATTGAAAAGATGAATTGCATCTCCTAAGCCTCCAAGAGAACCAATTCACCCATGGTTTTTTGTTTGTTTGTTTTGGTCAGAAACAAGACAGTTGAACAAGTCTTCTTGACACCAAGGAGATAGTGGTTGCAACACCACCAGTGTGTGTATGTATGCACACACTTTCCTCACCTCTGATCTACATAAGTGTTCTGCAACTACCTGTGAATAGGGGGCGGGCACAGGCATGCTAATATGTTGGTAATGGGGCACATAAAATATTAAGCTAGTAAAGAGATGCAAGGAAGGATACTAGAGACAAAGTTGAAGTACTTTGGCCACATCATGAGGAGACAGCAAAGCCTGGAGAAGACAATTATGCTGGGGAAAGTGGAAGGCAAAAGGAAGAGGGGCCGACCAAGGGCAAGATGGATGGACGGCATCCTTGAAGTGACTGGACTGACCTTGAAGGAGCTGGGGGTGGTGATGGCCGACAGGGAGCTCTGGCGTGGGCTGGTCCATGAGGTCACGAAGAGTCGGAGACGACTGAACGAATGAACAACAACAAAGAGATGCAATTCAAAGACAATGAATCATTTCATCAATCTTACCTGCCACTCCTGTTGGAAAAGCCACTAAACGTTCTAAGGGAGCTAACCATTTGCTTGGGAGGACAGTTACTGGTTCTGAGTAATATTTCCAAATTAGGGAGATCATTAAGGCAGCCTGGAATACAAAGTTGTTACAAGACTATGTATGAAAAGTGAAAAACAAGAGGGTACCTTTTCAATTACACATTCAGTATTTCGGATGTTTACTGGATTGCAAAACTTTTCATTGTCATCTTTAACAACCCAAAGCCAAAACTGTGAATCTCTTGCCCCAGAAAAAATAATTTTTCCATCGTAAAATACCCATGGCACACATTCTTTTTCTGACTGGCTATTGTACTTGGCTTGCTCTTCAGGAAAACCAAGGCTTGTAACCTTCGTACTGTTCTCCTCAGCGTGCATAGCATTGGACACTGCCCCAAATGACACACTACTGGACAAAAAGGAGGAAGATGGGGATGCCTGAGGGGCGAGTTTGCACCGAACTATACAACTTCAGATACATGGAAAGGATATATGTGTATGGGAAAAGAGAGAGAGGTGTGGGGAAGCAAGTGAAAAAAAATACAATTGTTTGCCAAAAACATTTAGTGTTTAGGAGAAGGCTGAGCAATACCCTTCCAAGTACTTAAATTCATTAAGAATCTGTTTATGAATACAGACATTGCCTAATAATGCGCATGGGGTCATATTCAATTTAATACTGATGTAATGTTTGAAAAAATATAATAATCTCATTTTACTTACTTGCAAAATGTAGAACACAATATTTATTACCCACTTTATTTTGGCAAGTTGTGCAGTTCGTGTTTTTACTGTTAAAAGAAAAAATGTGTTAGAAGCTGGTCTCCTTTACATATGGGATAGGCAATTCTGGGGGTTTAGGTTCCTGCACCAACTTCATAGAAGTCCTGGTGCTGAGCCCGATGCTGTGCCCCATGTCAAAAGAACAAGTTTCCATTCTTTGGTCCCAGATGCCCTCTAGAGGCTGCAAGAGGCATTTCCCATCATGTTTTTAGGGCCCCAATGTACAATTGCTATTTAAATGGCCTTTTCCTGGGCTTAAAATATGGTAAAATACACATAGATGCATTGTTTGTTTCTGGAAGGCCTTTAGGGATGTACTTTACTCACCCAAGCTTTACACAGAGTAGTTTGGAGTGTATAAATTCCCCTTCCCCTCAGGAATAATTCAAAGCAACACAAAAAAGGAGGGGAGATAACTTTTGTATGCAATTCATGGGCCTTTTGTATGCTTATTCATATTTTTTCTAACATTTAAGTGATATATTCCTTCTAGCTTCTCTGAAATTCAAGGTCTAGGGGATGAATGGGAATCGAACTTCTTTAGATCAATGGTTCTCATGCTTTCTACTGTGAGGACATAGTATCCACACACACAATCCCGCCCTCAAGTATTTGTACAACTGCTTATTTTGTCCCTGGAAATACAATGTGGACAAACTGCCTTGGATCTCATCTTGGGAGAAAGGCAGAGTATAAATCTAATAAATAAGTAGGCAGCCAGTGAACAAGCCCTAATCCACTAATCCCCACTTTAGCACTGTAGTAACACTGCTTTAGATGATGTTGGGTTACAATTCCCATCATTCCTCATGGTTGGCTATGTAAGCTAGGGCTGCTGGGACTTGCAATCTAACATCTGGAATAACATATGACACTACCCCTGATCTTAACAATAAGACAGTAGTTCATAAGAGTCTACAATAATCTGTAACAAAAAAATTAAGCATCTCAGACAATGTTCATGCTTTCCACCATTCCTTGAATTTTTTGTTCCAATAAATTGTGATTAAAATTCTGATAATTGAACAATAACATGGCTAATATAAAGGTTTTCAATTTTTAATATTTATATTTTGTAGTTTTATCTTTTCATTAATCTATTAACAACAATAGAGGTGGGAAAAGACAATAAAAAACAGTGAGACCAAGGCTGAAATATTATCAATATGCAAATATAAGCAGCAAATCTCTACCATGAGTCTTAAGCTTGTCAGTCATTTTGTTAATCTTCCTTTCTAGTCGGGCATATCTGGCAAATTCATCCATCATACTGATGGTAGAAAGTTCCTGCTTCATGTTCTGAATTTCAGACCTCATCTGAAATTCTTGTTCAGCATCCTTTTGTAGCAATCTTGATATCTGAGAAAGAGAGAAATGTGCCTGAGGTGTAAGGTCATTTTTTTAACAGAAAATTAGTGCATTTCACAAAGCAGACTTAGCTAGAAAGATATTTGCTTTGAGGACATCCTTTTACGTCCATCATGCAAATCATAATAGGACTTGCTTGTCTAGACATGACTGCCCACTGAAAATAAAAATAATAGAAAACATGAAGCACTTAGTGTAGAGGTGTCAAACTTGTGGCCCTCCAGATGTTCGGGCCTCCAACTCCCAGAAGCCCTAGCCAGCTTGTTTAATGGCGAGGAATTTTGGGAACAGAAGATTAAAACACCTGTATGGCCACAAGTTTGATAACAGGGACTTAATGGAACTCTCTGCCTCAGAGTGCGGTGGAGACTCCTTCTTTAGAGGCTTTTAAGCAGAGGGTGGATGACTACCTGCCAGGGGTAATTTGATTGTGCTTAAAATAAAGATATTACCCAAACTAAATTTTCTATTTAGAATGCTACCTGTAAAAATTTCAGATCAAGAAATAAAAATCTGGCAAAAAATGTTAAATCTGTACTGTAATGGGAACAAAAAAGCTAGAATAAATAAAAGTTTATGGTATAAGTCACAGAAGGAGGGAGGTCTTGGATTACCAAACCTCAAGTTATATTATCAATCAAATCAAATTAGATATATAGTAGAAAGTTTAGCAAAACAAAAGAGCTTGGAGTGGCTGGAAGAAGATGATAAAAAATTAGAACTGAAATTAGAATACATTTTTATAGGGGTAATAGAGAAAAGGGTAAAAAGAAATGGTATAACAATTTAAACAATCCCTTTCTAAAAAATATTTTAGAGATTTGGGGAAGATATAAAAAAACCCTAATGCCAGGTATTTCTCCTATCATGCCAGTTTTAATGACAGAAAACTTCCCAGAAAATTTAAAAAAAGAACTTGAAGTAGAACTTAATGGAAGAGGTTTAATGAAAATAAAAGACTGGGATCTGAAAATGGTAAATATGGAAAGAATAAAAGAGGAATTAGAAGACTTAGATTGGTATAAGTATTTACAATTGGGTAAATGGTCAAGTGATATAAGGAAAAAGTATAATGGAGGTAGGGAATACACAAAAATAGAAAAGATGATAACTCAAAGGGAGACTAAAGAAGAGAATATAACATTAAAAGGCACAGTAAGTCAGATCTATAAACTGTTATTAATGAATGAACAGGAACAAGATTATTTGAAGGAAGTATGGGAAACAGACTTGGGGGGAAAATGAATAATCAAGAATGGGCAAACATATGGAATATGAGAATACTAAAAAATATGTCTATCAGAATTAAAGAAAATTACTACAAAATGATATGGAGGTGGTATCTAATCCCTATTAGATTAAATCAGATTGATAAAAAATATTCGAATCAGTGTTGGAGAGGTTGTCAGGAAATAGGGACGTATCTACATATGTGGTGGTCATGTTATATTATACAAAAATTTTGGAAAAGCATATTTAAAGAAATAAGAGCAATAATAAAAATGGAGACTGAGATTACACCAAAATTAGCTTTATTACTTATACATGATAATATAATTCCCGTACAAGAAGAAAAGGAATTGGTTTCTAATTTGATAACAGCAGCTAAATTGTTAATAGCAAAAAATTGGAAGGAAAAAAAAGAAATTCAATTAGAAGAATGGTATAGGGAAATTTGGAATATAGCGATTAATGATAAGCTAACTTGCAATATTAAAATTAAAAGGGGTATATGTAAACAAACAGACTTTTGGAAAATATGGGGAAATTTATCGAGTATGTGTTTAATGAGGGAAAGGGGTATAAGCCAGCAAGAGAAACAATGATATTCTGGAATTGTGAAACAACATGAGTTGGTTGGTCCTGGTGGAGGGGGCACAAACTAAGGGTAAGGGGAAGAGGGGGGGGGAAGTATCAAAGAGAAACAACAGGAGTGGACCATGGTCAATATCCAAAGAGCGCTCATCATTATGTTTCCAAAACAAAATAAGATTGAATGATGGGACATGTCTAGAATTTGCATGTTGCATATATGTTACTATCATATTGTATTTGGAGAGCGAATGAGTGACTTGATTATAAGGATTGGTCAGATTCTAATTATTATTATTTTGTTTTGTAAATTGAGAGAAGTCTGAATTGACTTATAGTTAGTTAAGAATTTGTAGTAGTTATAGAGTACAAGAATAATTTAGTGATAAAGGTATGTTTACTTAATGTTTATGTTAAATTGAATAAATGCAATAAAAATAATTTTTAAAAAAATTGATTGTGCTTTCCCTGCATGGCAGGGGTTGAACGGGATGGCCCCTGTGATCTCTTCCAACTCTATGATTCCATCCTCAAGCCCCATGCTTAGTATCAAAAGAACCACTTTCTTATGAAAGGTTAAATACAAACTTCTCTCAAAACTTTAAAATAAAGAAATTACAGATTATATACCAATAATGTTATAGATGATGGCTATTCAAATTCTAACAAAAACCCTACCAACAATTTGGTACAACAAAGTTAAGGCGTGCAGACAGAAATGCTTCACACATATTTAAATTTCAAAGAAACATCACAACAGGGATTATACTAATTATTGGGTAATTTATTAATCTCCCATGCAAGTATTGCTCTTGTTTTATGCATTTTAGCTAGCTTCTCCAAAGTTAGGTACCACTAGAACATCAACTTGTAATTTTTTTCCCTTTTAAATCTTGACATTAGATTCCTTTAAGTCCCAACTTCCATATCCTTTCTCATCTTTCTGATTCAATATCACGCCCCTTATTTTTCTCCCATTTTATCATACAATCTTTCACCAGTTCTGGTACCAATTAGATTCTTAACAGCATTTTGTAAGGAATATCAATAATGTAAGATATGCAGATGACATCATATTACTGATAGAAAAAAGTAAAGACTTGGAAAGACTATTAATAAAAGTAAAGGAAGAAGATGCAGAAGTGGGATTGCAGTTGAGTATGGGTGGAACAAAAAACAAAAATGATGAGAATTGGACTAGATGGCCCTTGTGGTCTCTTCCAATTCAATGTTTCTGTGATTCTACTTTATCCAACACTTGCTTTAGAATGACATTTGCTTCTGCATGCATGAGACACAGTGGTGATCTTAGATGATACTGTGGATTGCCAAAATTAGTAATCAGTGGGTCCTAGAACAAACCAAGCCTGAATTCTCCCCAGAAGAATTCTCCCAAGATGACTAAACTGAGACTGTCATATTTTGTCCATATTTATTTAGCATGTCAGTATCAACCAGACAACTGTATTACATTTTTAACAATTTTTAAACAAACAGACAAAACAGAGTTTGCAAGCTTGGTAGTTGATTAAATGCCCTTTGGCCAGTAGCTGGCCACTTGGAGTGCCTCTGGTGTTGCTGCAAGGAGGTCCTCCATTGTGCATGTGGCAGGTTGCATTAGCAAGTGGTCTGTGGTTTGCTCTTCTCCATTTTTTGGCCATATAATAAAAAGGTATGGCTCAATAGAAAAGGCAATGCTTCGTAAGAAAGATGGGGGCAGGGAAGGAAGCCTGCATTACAGATTAATAAACTCATTCAAGGAAGCCATTGCTTCTGAAAAACCTGAGCAGAGCCGTTGAAGATTTAGTGTGCTTTTACACCAAAGCTCCTCAAACTTTTTAAACAGAGGGCCAGTTCACTGTCCCTCAGACTGTGGGGTGGACATGGACTATAGTTTGAAAAAAATATGAACAAATTCCTATGCACATAGCACAAATCGTATTTGTAATGCAAAAAACCATGAATGAACAATTCAATATGTAAAATAAAGAGCAATTTGAACCAACATAAACTTAACAGCATTTCAATGGGAAGTATGGGATTGCTTTTGGCAGATGTCAAGTCAATTGCGTTGTGTGCCTTCAGTTTCAGGGTGAGGGTGACCCAAAGTCTAAAAGCATAGGGTGGGGGTTAGGTTAATGACCTTGGAGCTGCATCTGGCCCGCAGGCCTTAGTTTGGGGACCATAAATCAAATGCAGTATGGCTCCATGTTACGGAATCATGGAAATTTCGATTTTGTCTGGCACCCACATTCTTTAGCATGACAACTCTCAGGGTTCCACAGCATGAGCCATGGCAGATAACGTGGTGTCAAGGTGCATTCGTTCTACAGTGCAGATGGGCCCTTAAGAGGTTTTTCCTTCATTGGGCTGCCATAAGTCAATGACAGCAGTTAACAACGCAGCTAAGTGAGAAGGGCTGTTAGGAGTTCCCAACAATACTGATTAACCCATTCCCTTCCTATAATAATAATAAAACTGTATTTATAGACCGCCTCACTCCCCTGAGGGGACTCAGGGCAGTTTACAATACAAGAAGGCAAACAGTCAATTTATTTATTTACTATTCTTGTATACTGCTGTATCTCAAGCCCGAGAACGACTCACAGAGGTTTACAAACAGCAGGGACAATAAAAACAGCAATAGTTAATAAACAATGACAATTAATATACACATTTCCATTAATAACTAATAAGCAATCCCAATACACAATTATTACAAACCCCACCCCCAATCGCCCAGACAAATGCAAAAAAACAATTACAGTAATGCAATATAATAAACACAATATCAAAATAAACATATTTTACAATAGGGAGATGCATTCTTTCAATGTTAAATACAGTACTTCAAATATTTTTCTAAGGAAAGCACCCCATGCCTTCATGATTGTTGTTGCTTCTCATAACTACCCAGTGGACTCAGATAATTCAGTTCAAAGCAGATATTGTGGGATTTTCTGCCTTGATATTGTGTGTGGAAGGGCACTTGGGTCTTCTTCACTCTCGACATTACTCTAACATGTTATATGAGGACCCCACTCAGGAGAAGAGAAGACAATGATGCTGGGGAAAATGGGAGGAAAAAGGAAGAGGGCCGACCAAGGGCAAGATGGATGGATGGCATCCTTGAAGTGACTGGCTTGACTCTGAAGGAGCTGGGGGTGGCCACGGCCGACAGGGAGCTCTGGTGTGGGTTGGTCCATGAGGTCACGAAGAGTGGGAAGCGACTAAACGAATAACCAACACAAAACACAGGCGAACAAGAGGCGCAGATGGGGAAGAAGGATGGAGGCGCCGGCGTGACGTCACTTACAATGGAAGAGCAGGAGGGCAGGAGGATTTTGAGGAGATTGCAGAGAAACACGGAGCTCAGCACCAGGAGCCACGCGCCGCCGACCGTCACGTGCTCCGTCTCCACTGCCAACTCGTCCATCTTTCGCGCCGGAGTGGGTGGGGGGAGGGAGTGCGGAGGACCAGAGAACAAAACCTCTTCCCCGCCCTTCGGAATCACTGCTACCCAAGGAGGGGGCGGATAGAAGACTGGGCAGCGAGAGATTCTATGGCTCGCGCCCGCTTATCAAACCTACGCAGGCGCACATGGCGGCGGCTACGCAGCACCAGCAGCAGCAAGTGCTGCGCTCCGCGACTATTGTCTTGAACCGTCCACTGGGGGCGCATGCGCACACACAATTGACGCGGCTCCTGTGACGTCAAAGGGGAAGGGAGGAGTAGGAGGAGGGCGTGAGGGAAAAAAAAAACCCACCCCTCTCTCCTCCTCTTCGGCGGACCGTTGTGATTTGAAATGTCCCCGCGAGCCGAGCCCGGCCAATGGGGGACCGCCGTGGCGCGCGCGCCTGTGGGAGGGGGAAGGGGCGGAGCTGCGCGCGAGCGCCCCCCTCCCGCCGATCCGGCTGGATCCTGTTGCGGTGCCGCTGGCGCTGCTGGGATGGTTGCAGGAGGGAGGGGAAGGAGGGAGGGAAGGAGGGGGGTCAGGCGGGCGCGCTTGCCTGTGCGCAGGAGTGAGAGAGCCCGACCGCCAGTGGGCTGGAGGACGAAGTCGCCGTCAGCCGCGCGAGAAAGAGCGCTCTTCCTGCCTGCCCGCCCGCCCGGCGCTCGCTCGAGAGTTCCAATCCCCCTTTAAGCCAACAAGCCCAAGGAAAAGCCGAGGCGCCTCCGCCATGCCGAAGAGAAAGGTTGGCGACAGGCGCGCGGACGGGCGCGCACTTTCTTTTTTAACGTGCGCACTCCTCCTCACCCCCCCTCCCGTCCCCCCTCCCTCCCTCTCTTCCCCCCTTTTATTCTGACGGAGAGAAGGGAGACCGGAGGGGCCTTCTTCGGCCCAGAGGGTGTCCTGGGAGGGGGGAGGGGCGGGGAGGCGGAGGCGTGACGGGTGTTGCAAATGGCCGCTGCCCTTTTGAGCATTCTGAGCTGCCAGGACGGGGGGCTGTGGGCTCCGCCGCGGCCTCACGCGCCTCCCAGCACCCGGAAGCTGCCCCCTCGGCGTTCAGGCGAGAAATGCGGCCTCGGGTCGGGGGCTCCAACCGACGATGGCGGTCGTGGAGGGAGGGGGGCGTGTCCGTGGTGACGTCACGGCTCTTGGAGAAGCCTTATCGCGCATGCGCCAGCTCCCCCCATCTTTCCCTCATCCCGCCTTCTCACTTCTTTTCTTCTTCCCTTGCAGGTGAACGTGGCTGAAGAAGAGGTAAGTTAATGTCAGCCGTTTTCCACCGTGAGGTGGAGTGTTGTTGTTTAGTAGAGCATAGAATCATAGAGGTGGAAGAGACCAGGGAGAAGATTCTTTCCTGACAAAGAACCATCCAGCTATAGATACAGAGAGATATGTAGGATTCACACACACATAGATTTGAAAGGTACCCCTGAAGAAGGAAAGTGGTATCTTGCATGTTCCAGAGTAGGCAAACCAAGACAATCTCGACATCAACACTGACAAAGAAACAGCAAGAAATACTGTTTACCCACAAACATAAAGAAATTACATATATTAGAAACCAACACTTTCGCATTACTTTATTATTATTTGGAGTGCTTCTACCCCACCCTTCTCAGCCCCCTAGGGGGGACTCAGGGCAGCTTACAAAAAGGCACAATTTGATGCCTAACCATTCACAAAATACAATACAATATACAATATGCAATACACAAATTTACCATATAATATCAACAATTATAATTAAAACAGTCAAACAATATACTTGGCCACAGCAACACATGACAGGGGACAGCTAGTATATTATATTATTAGCATAGTCCAATATCAGTATTATATATATAACTATACTGCATTATACCATTATATTGTTATATTATTAGTAATATTACATGTAATGTAAATATATTATTACTAGTATTATATTGCATTACATTATAATATAAATATTTTATGTATATACAATATACTATATTATATTATTAGTAAAGACAAGGGGCTGTGTGGAAAGGCCCCATGTCATGCAGAACTATTTCCTTCCTGACTTGATGAATCCATACTACACAATAAAACAAAAGGCCAAATTTTCTCCACATTAGCCACTGTTGACAGGAGAAACGGAAATTGCTACCTAACCCCAAATTTGTCCACAGTCACGTGCTGAAGCTGTGGAAAAACTGCTCATTGCGTTATAGAATCATTGAGTTGGAAGAGACCTCATGGACCATCCAGTCCAACCCCCTGCCAAGAAGCAGGAAAATCACATGCAAAGCACCCCAAGAGATGGCCATCCAGCCTCTGTTTAAAAGCCTTCAAAGAGACTTATAAATAGAGCTTTTTGCTCCTTCAACTGTGGGTTCCAACCCCAAATGGGGTCTACTTTGCTCAATGAAAAATTTGGTAACAGTTAAAAGTTTTCTGAATGTCTCCAAATGGCTGTTTTTGACATTTACACAAATCTAACACCTGTTAATTCACTGTTCGCCAGCTCCCAACTATTTTAGCCAGATTTTAGAGATTTTTAATGGAATGTTAAGGATTTAATGTGTTTATAGTTATGTTTCTTGTGTTATGTATTGTCTTGCTTATTTGTGTTCATATCATTTATTTGTTTGGTTTTGACTGCTTTATGTATTGAATGTTTGCTGTTTATTTTGTTGTGAGCTGCTCTGAGTCCCTTCACGGAGATAGGGGAGGCTATAAATAAAGTTTTCATTCATTATGTTGTGCAGTATTTACAGTGGACTCTGCAGAAAGTGCCCCAGCTGTACTTCATAACAATAAACTTTAGCAAGCATTACAGATGCTGGGTTGTTATCAGTAAATATTTGATTTTTTTAAAATATCTAGTTTATATACCTGGGAGTCATGTAAAAATTTCTCGGGCTGAAAGGCGTCACTGGTGGAAAACATTGCAAAAGACCTGATATAGAGGAAGCTAGTAACATTTTTATGGTTTGTTTTTTAATGTAGCCAAAGAGGCGATCAGCACGACTGTCAGTTGTAAGTATTTGCATGTTTATTATTACTGCTTACTTATATTTACTTATATCCTATTTTTCTCACTTAAAAGTGATTCAAGGCTGCTAATAATGATATAAAATAAAAAATGGACAATTTGAAACCAAAAACATATAAACATTAAAATAGAATGAAGCATAGTAGTATTAAAAATAAGTAAAATCATTAAAAATCTATTAAAATACATAAACACTAATCAGCACCCTCTGTCAGTCTTTAAAATGTTCTTATTTAAAAGTGTTTTTAATCTCTGCATCGCTTTTATTGTTAGCTTTGTAGAAGCATCGCAATAATAAATGTGTGGCATTTCCTTACAGAAACCTGTCATTGCCAAAGTAGAAGCAAAGCCAAAAAAGCCCGCTTCGAAGGTGAGTTTCGTCATATATGGAAGCATAATAAAAGAGAACCATATTCAGCTGCATTGGGAGTTGCCTGGAAAAAAAGAAACATTTTATAAAATGGAGCATTGCCAAATTTTACAGTGAACAGTGTTGAGAGATTTTTATGCACTAATAAAAGAACTATATTGTCTAGATTCATTCAGAATGTGTGAAAACTACATCTGCAGATACTGCTAATAATTGCAGGTCTCTCAGAAGACCTGTGGTGAAGATAGTACTATTACTATTATTTATTTCTTTATACCCCACTTTATCTCTCCCAAAGTAGACTCAGAGCGATTTAACATAAAAGCATTAGCATAAGTAGTCAAACCACCTATGATGTAGAATTTGTCGGGATACTGTATACCTTTTAAGCTACTTTTATATCATAATTTATATTCCAACGTGAGAAAAAGCCTTTTCCTATTCAGTGTTACATTACTATGAGAAAGTAAGTCACAACTCATGGTTTTCCACATAAATGGCCAGTCAAAACAATAGCCCTGATAAATCCCAAATGCAGGGAGCGAAAATGTGCAAACTAAAAAAAAATACTGGTTTAATATGATGTTTGGGGAAAGAACAATTTTGATGAAAAAAATGGAAAAGTTTGTTCATACAATGATTTAAATAGCACAACAGCATAAAGCAACACAAATGAATACATCTCATCCATCTCCAAAAGATTTACAATCTACATTTTGACAGTGAGAGAAAAGGGACACATTAATGAACAGAGCTGGTATGAAGGACTTCATTTATGTGTATATCATACGAGGGGTATTTTTAAAGTAAGATCCGTTTTGTTGTAGACACTAGTAGTTCGCGCGCATACCGCAACGAGCGCGTGCATTGTGTACCGGCATACCTTGGGAACAACTGTGCTCAGTTTCCGCTCTGTAGCTAACCTGTACGGTTCTGTTCTGTGCTTTAAAAATGTTTAAGACTATCAACTCACCCGCTGCATGTGAGGTTCGCTCAGTGATACGGTTTTTGTCAGCAAGGAACCTGCCTGCTGCAGAAATTCATCGACAGATTTGTGAAGTGTACGGTGATACTGTTATGAGTGAAAGCAAAGTGCATAAGTGGGTACGACAATTCAAAGATGGTCGTGACAACGTCCATGATGAGGACCGCTCCGGTCGCCCTTCTTTGATTACAGACGATTTGGTGGCTTCAGTTGAAGAGAGCGAACCTCACATGCGGCAGGTGAGTTGATAGTCTTAAACATTTTTAAAGCGCAGAACAGAACCGTACAGGTTAGCTACAGAACGGAAACTGAGCACAGTTGTTCCCAGGCATGCTGGTACACGACGCACACGCTCGTTGCGGTATGCACGCGAACTACTAGTGTCTACAACAAAACGGACCTTACTTTAAAAATACCCCTCGTATTTTATTTAGTGTGATAATCTTATCCAATCAAAATTTTGTATGATACAATTTATGTAAGGAAGTGACTCTGATTCTGTAAAAGATACCAGTAACAAGTTTATTTAAATTTCTGAAAATTCCAGATATTTTCCATGGCTTTAAAATTTACATCTTTAAGTCTCAAACACTTTGAATGGTACAGAGTGTCTTGTAGGATAATAATTACACGCTCTGGCACTGATCTTGGTAATGCTAAATGAATGACAGGTTTTCTCAGATGCTATCTCCAAGGATTCTCGACTGATTAAAAATTGACTAGTGCTCCTTAGAGGTTATTTAAAGGGACAGCTACAGCTTATTCTTAAATTTTGATGCATAACTTTAATGAAGAATATCACATCATAAATCAATGGCATTCAATATTTTCCAATCAGATTATATTCAGCTTGGCTTAACAACCCCCACCCCCCAAAAAAGTCAGATAAATTTTAGAAACAAATTGCCTAAATATTTTTCCAGACATTACAGCTTGAAAGAATATATATGTATACCAAAAGAAATTTGTATCTAAGTTACATCAATAATTGATACAGAGAACTTTTGTCTTTACTTGTACCTGTTACTTATTCCAAAATAGAAACAAATTTACCACTGTGTTCAGTAGTTACTCTGTTACTTTTTTGGGTGTGTTTCAACTCAAAGCCTTCCAGTTCTTTTCACAAGAAGCTACTTTTGGTGGAACATTTAAGGCGCTCCTACACGGTAGAATTGTTCTATATATTTATATGTAAGACTAGAAATTGTAAACAAAAATCAGTGCAAAAAATCTAGGTTGTCTTTTCCACAAGTCAATATGTGTACTGTATCTTAGCTTACATAAAAAAAAAAAAGAAACTTTGCCTTTATGTGGCAAAGGGCAAAAGCTTAGTTCATCCTGGGGAAAAAACGTTTTAAAAGCATCTACTCTCCCCCCCCCCCCCCCCTCCACCACCACCAACACACAAATACACTTTCCATCACTACCTCTTCAAGCCTGTTTGAATGCCTTGGCGGGGAAATAGCATTGCTGTTTTCATCTTTCTTCAACTCCTCCATAGATCATATCAAAAGTCATAATTTTTGCCCCAAGCCTACTCTCTAATTATTCATGAGGTCGATGTATACATGAGTATACATGATAATGCAGTTTGATACCACTTGGTTCAATGGTATGGAATCATGGGAGTTTTCATTTTAAGACTTCTTTCACCTTCTTTGCCTGGGAGTGCAAAGATACCAGACTATGCTATTAAGTCATGGCAGTTAAAGTGATGTCAAACTGCATTAATTCTGCATAGGCACCTACACTATAGAATTATAGACATCTACACTAGAATTAGTGCAGTTTAATACTTCCATCATTGTTTCAAATGTATTCCTCTTTCAGCTGTGTGAGTAGCTCAGAAATACTTGATAAGTTTGATTAATCTTCTTCAGATTTCTTAATAAGCCACCGAAACTTGTAATTTGTAAATACATAATTGTACTCATAGTCAATATAGTGTTCACCACAGGATCCCCAAGTAAGCTAAATAATAAATAGGAATGTTTTCCTTTAATTTTTGCCAAGTCACATTCATATTACTTGTATTGTCTGATACTAGGACTTGTACCATCAAGTGCCTTATCCTTTCAATCGCTTTAGTCAACAGATCTGATTTGTATTGATTTGTATGATTTCAAGAATATTAATTCAGGTTTAGCAAATACATTGATCAGTAAAAGGTTCCCCTGTGTATCAATCTATTCAGTTGTGTCAGCTGTTTGACCAGATCTTACAACAACCATTGCTTAAACTTTGCTGTGTTCTTTATTTAAAAGAGAATGTGAAAATTGGTGTTATTGATATGAGAAGCTAATCAGTTTGTGGTGGTTTTCCTGTATGTGTTTTCAGCTATGACAAGAGGCATATCACTTGCAAATGTAGTTCAAGCAAAATGTCTCACCTGCTTTTTCTTCTTTTGACAGTTGTCCAGAAAGCTTAACAAAAAAAAAACTTGACTGTCTTGAACTGCAACTCTCAGATTGAAATCATTATTTAACTGTTCTTGTAACCTTTCCCCCATTCCTGATAGCTCAATATCTTCAGCTTCTGTTTCTTGCAAGCCTCTAATTTTATTTAAGCTAACAAGCTCCTTCAACATGAAAGGCAGAATATTTTTATTTACTCTATTTTACTCTGGCTGAAGAAGCAGTGGCAGGCAGCTTGCTTGCTTCCACCTTGGCAGAAAGAACATATTATCAATGACGACTTTCTTTCTGGGACTAGGACAAAGAACAAAAGAACATGCATTTATGGCATTGTCACCATTTGTGGCATTCCATTTGTTTAATTGCTATAAAAAAAATAGTATTTTTTAGTTCAAACAGATAAGTTGGGTAATTTTTTTGCATTTGCAACTTACAAACGCTTTATAAATTTAATGATATAATATTTTTGAAATTCTAATCTGCAGTTTTGAAATGTTCATTTGTGTTATTGCTACTTGGGAGTAGTTTCCCCACATTATGTTCCAGCACTACATTGTAATAGTTTCCTATACCAGTCTTGTATTTTTTTTCAAGATAGTTCCTAAATATTAAATTCTTCTTTATTCTCATTACATTCTTGAAATGCTCCTGCTATCAATATTTCCATTTACATTTTTTTCATCCTGCAATATGTTTACTATATCAATGACACACCATATAGCTTAGTCATTTAGTACTTATTTTTACTTTGTAAATCCTAATAACATCTGGAGCAGAGAAGAAATGAGGCACTTCTCTGAGGAAAGCAAAACAAACAGTAATTAAATACTTCAGTTTTTAATTCAGTTTCTTAACAAAGAACATTAGCAACAGAGAACAATTACACCAACTGCAAATCTGCTTTAGAATGATTCTGAACAGGAAGGTTTACATTGTTCTTCAGTTCCTACCTCCACCTCATATATCTGAGTGTTCGGACTTCCCAATGCCTATCTCTTTCAGAAGAATAATGACTAGTTAGCCTGTCTGTAATAACCAATTTTATTATAGAAACCCAGATAACTGTGGAGATGTTTGTATGGTGTGGAACATTTTCCATTGAAAAATACATCATCAAAAATTGGAAAAGTCTTTTATTACTGTCTCTTCATAAAATATATTGAGTTAATATACATTCTTGTGAGAATAACAGGGAAACACATTTTATGCTTACAACTGTGATTATGATACAGCATATTGTTCATTATAGATAATTTTTTGATAAGGGGCAGAAGGAATCCTCATACAGTGTTTGAAATACTGCCCAGAAGTGGAGAACCTATGTCCCCTGGGGCTCAGATTCACCCTTTTCTTTATTTCACCATATTTCAGTATTCCATACCAGATAATTGTTTCATTCTTGTGAGATGTCTTTAAAAGGGCAGATCAGGGTAGTTGACAGACTAACCCCCCTCTGGACAAATCTTGCCACGTAAATCCCATGAAGGTTCACCTTAGGGTCACAGTAAGTCAGAAAAGACCTGAATGCACACAAAAACATATATGGGGATGCACACACGCAAAGAGTGAAAATACACTGTGATGGCTATTTTGTTCTTAGATTGAGAGGGCAATTAGTGTAAGATTTGTGCAATAACTGAGAAGAAATAGAAGTGAAATGGAAAGAAGAATTGAATGTTCAGAGATTATAGTCTTAAGATAAGTGTGGCTGCTGTTGGTGAATCTGTTAGAGCACGTGTCACACTCAAGGCCTGAGGGCCAAATCCAGCCCATCATGTCATTTTATGGAGCCCTCCAGATGCTGGACTACAACTCCTGTATTCCACTTCATTAAACACCATGACTACATCTGATGGGAATTTTGATACAGTAATATTTTGAAAGCTTCAATTTGTTTGGTTTAGTCAGAATAATGGGGTTTGAATTTAGATACAGGCGTCTAGATACAATGCCTGGCTTTAAAATGTCCTTTAACCTTTCCCCAACCTAAGTCACAAGGGCTGTTGGGCTGCAATTCCTATTATTCCCAATCTCCATGGCGAATAATCAAAAATAATGGGAGTTGTCATTCAATAACAACTGGGGACCCAAACTGAGTAAAAACTAGAGTTAAAAAAGTATAGTTGGCTCCCTTTATCCACGGATTCACTGTCCATGGATTAAGCGGCCCTTGGAAGATAACCATAAAGCTGATGAAAATTAGTTTGATACTCCTGTTTTAGAGAAATATATATATATTGAATTTGGGAGGGGGGGGGTCAAAGGAAGTAAATATATCAAGTTTAAGTGAAAAAATAAAATACAATGTTTTTTAAAAAGATACGTGCAACATTACGTTTTTCATACCAGCCTTACCAAGTCAATTATCTTCTTCAAAATTTTTTAGTTAAACACATTGATCAAAACTTGCAATCATTCAAGTTGACTTCTGAGCAAACTAGAAGTTGACCATTATCCTACAAATAAACAGTTAAAAATTGCATTCCTTTGAAATGATATGTGCCTGTTCATCAGAGGCAGATCCTTGTTTTGCCTAATTATAGAATAAGAAAAGGTGAAAGTTTTTTCTTTACCCTGTTTTTGTATCTCATTACATGCTGTATTTCGCTTGAGCACCTTGGGATTTCATAATGAAGTCTAAATATTGCCATACTAATATGAATCAAAGAGTGTTGCTGTTTTTTGGTGTAGGTGTATGTCGCCTCTCGATTTATGGTGATCTCATGAAATTCATGGGATTTTCTTTGACAAGGAATACTCAAGATTCAGTTTTACTAGTTCCTCCCTCTGAAATGCCGCCTTTACTACTCAATATTCGTTTGCAGTCTCACATCCAGATACTATCTAGGACTGATCCTGCTTAGCTTCCAAGATCAGATGGGATTTGATGCATTTAGGGTATTTACTGTATTAATTTAATCATGCTTAGTTATGCTAAGTTTTTGATATTTTGCCTAAAGAATTCTGTTCATACGGAACTGGTGTTAGTTTGACTGCAGTCTTCTGGGTCTCTCTCTTCTCTTTTTTCTTACAAAAGAAAGGTAAATTGCTTATCGTAGAAGCTGCCACACTTCAAAAACATTGTGCTACCTAGAATTTTAGACAAGCTCTTGCCATGTTAGTTTTTAAACTAAAATCTGATGCATTTACCTAGGAGTAGGCTCTATTGAACAGAGTGGGGCCCACCTGAGAATTGATTGGCACAAAATTGCACTCTTAATATTAAGGGCTTTAACTGTAATTATTTTAATTCTTTATTACATTTAAAAAATATTTAAATATTAGATGCCCATTGTCTACCTTTCTATAGGACAAATCTGAGGAAAAGAAAACCCAAGCTAAAGGGAAAAGGGGACCAAAAGGGAAACAAACTGAAGAGATTAATGACGAGGAAATAAAGGATAACTTGCCTGCAGAAAATGGAGAAGCAAAGACTGAGGAGGTAACTATTCCAGTATGTGTTCTGTAGTATTATTCTAATTTATTTTCATCAACACTTCCTTTATTAAGTTATTGTATTAAATATTGCTTGAGTTTGAGGGAGATTCTTTTTCTCTCTTCTGACTCATTTTGATGTTGAAAGCCAGGAGATTTAAAAATATTTACATGTATTTAAAACGTACTCTCTAATCAAGGCATGCTGTAAACAGGATGTAGGCAACCTAGATGATCCGACTAGATAGATCACCAAACATTTGAAATTCATAATTATATATCCATCTCTTAAATAATAGGTATTATTATATGTATGTGATAAAAAGCATATATGAAGTGCTTGATTTTAAATCTATCAGATTAAATACTGACCTTGGTAGGAAAATGTGGAATTCAAATGTTTTGAAATTTGGAATCTATATTGCTCTGCATCAAGCAAATCATATGTCACAAGCACTTAATGATCTAAATGAAGTGTGTTCTCAGGTTATTTGTAAATCTCAATGAGGATATTAGTTTTAGTCCTGAGCTATATGGTGGTATGGTTAAAAGCATTGTACTACAATCTGGAGACCAAGGTTTGAATCTGTTTAGCCATAGAAGCCCACAGATTGTCATTGGGCAAGTCATATTCTCTCCACCTTAGAGGAAGGCAGACACAAACTCTCTGAACAAAGTTTACTTAGGGTTTTGAAGGTACCAAAAACTATTTGTTTTATAGTTTTAATAACTCTCTGTTTCTCTATTTTGAAAATCAGTGCATTCTTCATCAGTTAGAAGGATATATTTTAAATAATAAGAAAAACTAGTAAATTTCTGTTAATGTTATGCTAAATATGTTCTATTTTCTACCAGTGCTTGATGAGGATTTTTTTAATCTGTTATTTCCAGCATGTATGGAAGCCAGTAGTGACATAATGACAGATGAGTTGTCAATGTCAGGTTTACCAATCTCAAGTGAACGTTTTTCTAGTAAGGTATCTAAACAAGCAAACCCAATTGTTTTAAAATATTACACTATATTTTTGCTTCAGGGTAATGATATAAAAAATCATGTTTGTTCTACCTTTCTAATTTGGCTTTCCAGTTGTCTTTAAGATCTTTTGATGACGTTTACGTATAGAGGTGGAAACAAATGTATAACTATTGTCACACTAAATTCTTTTTGCAGACTCCAATTTCTGATGCTGCAGGAGAGAAGGAAGCAAAATCTGAGTAATGTCTTTGTACAAAGTCTTTAATCAGTGGTTCCTGTACCACCATCCTGTACAATTCAGAGGATTATTTTTATCAACTATTTTGTAAATGCAAGTTTTTTAGTGGTTTTAGAGAACACATTTTTTAAACATGGGGGAATGCCCTCCATATCCCATTTAATATAGGTGAGTGTAAATGCTTCCCTTTAAAAGATAAAAAATCATGTTCTGGTTGTCTACTCTCTGCAACCGATAATTAATGGAATGTTAGATAATGGGTAAATTTCAAAATATTGATCACTTTCAGTTCAATCCTTTGTGTGATTTCTGAGAAGTGAGTTCCACTCATTTTAGTGGCACTTTTTAGGAAGCCTGCATTGGATTCCAGCCTTAACATTCCACAGGCCAGGGTGGGCAACTTGCAATTTACATGTGGCCCTTGAAGCTATCTTTACGCAGGATTTTAATTGCTGTGATTTTAGCTTGGTTTCTTTAGATGTCTAGCCCTCACATTTTCAAAGAAATTTAAACAGAAGATAAAAAAAAAAACATGCTTAGTACAGTGGGCTCTGGATCCACAGTTTCAACTGACTGTGAATGTTGTGCCCCATATTATTAAAGCCATGTTTTTCCAAATTTGAATGGGGTTCCAAAACAACCTCCACAGACACATTAGGCCCACTGTATATGCCAGCATGGTCACCAAATGTAAAGAAAGTTGCTTATCCCAGCTGTTTACTGATAGCTTTTATAAGCTGTTAACAGAAGCAGAGCACAGATAAAATTTTGACTTCCTGACAAGCAGGAATTTGTTTTCACGTTTAACACTTACCTCCCTAATTTGTCATCATTAGAATGCTTCCTCAATGAAAACTGCTCCCTGGTGTTTGATCTCCCTTTCAGATTTGTTCGGGCTGTGGCAGAGTTATTTTTGGTAGTGGTAGTTTATTTTTTCAACAGCTTTGTAATGTGTTGTGAAAGGTTGAAAATCTTGGTGTGTAGTGTGTGCGGTGTTCAATTACTAAGTAAACAATTTTTGGGGTAAAGCAGATGTGACTTCACAAGACAGTATTTTAGACAGTGGTACTTTTTCTACTTCTACTTTGAATTAATGGTCTATTAAAGAGTTGTCATAAGACTGGTTTACATTCATTTACTGGACGAAAAATCTTTACAGATAGTTAATACCTGTGTGGTTAATCCAACAAGATTCAATAAAATATTAATTATAAACACCTTGCTATCTTTTTTCTCTTCAACTTGACTGAAAACTAATCTTTATGTAGATACCAACAGAGTATTTTATTGGTTATAGCAAATTAACTTCTCTTCAATAAAGAAGAACATCAATTCTGAGAATATCAGTAATTTTGCCAAAAGATGTAACTGCTATTGATGGAATTTCTGAAGTAAGAAAGTGTGGATAAGTGGTTTGCAGGCCTGACAGTATGACTTGAAAGGTGTGCTGTTTCCCTGGAGCAAAAAGCCAAAGGACAGGAAGTCACTACATACAACCAAATGAGTAGGAGGAGAGAATAACACTGATAGGAACAATAACTGTATAGTTGTTAGGGAATATTGCTTAAAATGCGTATGTTTGTATTAAATATTACTGTCATAAATGTGTAAATTTAAAATTAAAAAGAAACCAAAGAGTGAATGTTGCAGGGATGAAGCCAGAGAAAGAGAAAACCCTAAAAAGCAGCAGAAAGAAGAAGGCAAGGAAAAGGCAGAGGAGATTCAGCGGTTTACTTATTTATTCCTAGGGTTGGCAAGAATCCTGCAGCTTTCCAGATGTTTGTGCACTCTCCTCAGCCCTACCCATACTGATAGGGGATACTAGGGACTGCAGTTCAGGCCACTAAGAGAAAGGAGTTCATGATGGATGGAAGTTTCAGAAAGCAAGCTGTTGGAGGCACAATTTCAAACCCTTCCAATGAGGAGGAAAAATAAGGAGATAGCTAAAGTAACCAGAATGGGTGTTTAAGGTACTTTCGGTTGAGGTTGGATTTAAAAGGAGCATATTCAAGAAATTGAAAAATAGGACAAATAACCAAAGGAGATTCAAATGAATACCCAGCATATGTAGGGATAAAGTTAGAAAAGTGAAAGTGTAGAACATGCTCAGGTTTGCTGAAGAGGTTAAAACAATTATAAATAAGAGCTTTTTGGTTATATCCACAGCAAAAGGAAGAACAAGGAAATGGTCAGGCCATTGTGTAGAGGCAATGGCAAAATGCTAACGGGGGGACAAAGAAAAAGAAGAACTTCTCAACACCTTTGCCTCAAATGGTTGAAAGTGTTCAGCTTGAGGAAGATTAAGCAGATGGGGAAATACAGCACAGAATAGGCAAAGAGGCAATACAGGAATATCTGGCGAAATGAATTCAAGTCTCCGGGACTGGATGAACTACATCCAAGAGTATTAAAATAACTGGCAGAAATAATTTTAGAATCACTGGCAATCATCCTTGTGAATTGCAAAAAAGTAAGTTTCAGAAGACTGAAAGAAGGCGAATGTCCCCATTTTTTAAAAAAAAAAAGTGGGGGGAGGGGCATCAATTGCTGCTCAGTCAGCCTGGTATTGATACCAGAAAAGATTCTGGAGCAAATTCTCAAAGGCACAGCGGAACATCCATGTTTTTAGGTTCTTGCAGAAGGTGGACAGGGTAGGTGCCAGTCTGATCCCCCTAGGAAGTGTGTTCCAGAGCCCGGGGGGTGGGGGGGGGCACCGCTGAGAAGGCCCTCTCCCTCATCCCCACCAACTGCTCTTGAGATGGAGGTGGAAGCAAAAGAAGGGCCTCCCCGGATTATCTTAGGGCTCATGTTGGTTCATAGGGGATTTCCCATAAACATGTCATGCCAGACAAAACTTACCTCTATTTGATAAAAGTTACAAGCTTGGTAGATGTAGGGAATGCTGTAGACTACTGGTTCCCCACCTTTAGTCCTCCAGTTATTTTGAACTTCAACTTCCAGAAATCCCAGCCATCTTACCAGCTGTTAGGAATTGTGAGACATGAAGTCCAAAACACCTAAAAGACCAAAGGTTGGGAACCACTGCTGTAGATATAGCATGTCTTAATTTCAGTAAGGCCTTTCACAACATTCTCACAAACTAATAAAATGCGGGCTATATGATGCCACTATTAGGTGGATTAGGAATTGGTGGCTGGCTGAACCCAAAAGGTGCTGACCAATGGCGGCTCATCCTGGAGACAAGTGGCCAGTGGGGTTCAACGGATCTGTCCTGGGCCCAGTGCTTTTCAACATACGTATCAATGACTTGGCCAATGGAAAAGAAGGCATGTTAATCAAGTTTTCAGATGATATCAAATTTGGAGGAATAGCTAATACCCCAATTTGGAGGAATAGCTAATACCCCAGAGGACAGGATCAGAATCGAAAATGATTTTAACAGAGCTGGGACAAAAACTTAACAAAATTAATTTCAACATGGAGAAATTTATTGAGCTACATTTTGACAAAAAATTAAATGCACAGCTGTAGGATGTCTGACACCTGGCATGAAAACAGTACACATGAGGTCTATAAGTCGTAGTTGGCCACAAGCTGAAGTGAGTCAACAGTGATGCGGCAGCTAAAAAGCCTAATGTGATTCTAGGATGCATCCATAGGAGTATAGTGTCGAGATGAAGGGAAATCATGCTCCCATTCTATTCTGCTTTGGTCAGTGCTCATCCAGTTGGCACTGCAATTCAAAAAGGATATTGAAAAGCTAGAACATGTCCAGAGAAGGGTGACCAAACTAATCAAAGGTTTGGATACCAAGCCCTATGTGGAGCAGGTGAGGAAGCTGGGTATGTTTAGTTTGGGGGGAAAGACTGAGAGGAGACATGACAGCCAGGTTCAAATATTCAAAAGGCTGTCACATTGAGGAGGGGGCAATAGTGTTCCCTGCTGCTCTGGAGACTAGGACATGGAACAATGGATTCAAGTGGCAGGAAAAAAAGATCCAGTGTAAACATTAGGAAGAACTTCCAGATGGTAAGAGCTGTTTGGCAGTAGAACATGCTGCCTCAATACATGGTGGAGTCTACTTCTCTGGAGGTTTTTGAGGAGAGGCTACCGGTCGGGGATGCTTTGCTTCCTTGTTCCTTCATGGCAGAAAATTGGAATGGATGGCCATTGTGGTATCTTTCTAACTATGATTCTATGAACTCATCAGGATTTCAGTTAGGGTAGTGCTGTCCTAGAGCTAATAAACATTTTAGCTTAAATAATTAAAATTCTGTTATTTGAATAATTTATTTAAAATTAAAGTGTAATTTAAATCAAATTCACTCTGATTCTATCTAGTTCAATAATCCTATTGTGTTGCTCAGAGTGCAACTCAATAGCTTCATACCTCTATAGTTGCCTTCCCTGTTTGTTTGTTTGTCTTTTAAAAAATCGATACCAGATGATACCCTTCCCTGTAGGAGGCTGAGTGGGAATAAACCCTCTGCCTATACTGTGATGCTCCTCTTTTCATGGGGGGTTGGCTCTGAGCAAATTCCATCAACTATGGATTATCATGCCCAATATTCTTAAATCAGCAATGTGAATGTGCACTACAGTATGTCCACATTCATGTTGCCATTGTTGTGGGATATGATAATCCATAGTTGATGCACATTGCTGATCTGGAAGACCCACTGTACCTCCCTGAAACATCTTTTTATTAAAAAAAGGGATTTGGTTTAAAAGGCACATTAAGCCCTGGTGAGTCTTTGGGGTATGTGATTTAACACTCTTTCAGTGACTGAGTAAAACCATATAACCAGCATGTGAGCAATGTATGCACTATTGTTTTCCTCTCTAGTACCTGAACAGGTGTCTAGAATAATTTGATGAAATATGAGGTAAACAAGATGAAGCAAACCAAGTGACACGAACATACACAGTTGGTAGGGAAACCGACTCCCTGAAGGACCAGTTATGCCATGTATTTACCATACTTCTGAAAATGATGTTCAGCAGGGAAGCTCAGGTGGAACTAGTGGCTATAAATGGAATTTTAAGTGCAGCTTCCTTGTTATATCATGCACTGAATTTCTTTTTCACATATGCACACCAATAACAGAAGAGAAGCTCGGAAAACAGTTATACTTGCAATATCTGTCAGATATTGTAGATTTTTTTACATTCTATTCTAGCTGTTGTGGTGTTGAATTTGATAATTTTAAAAAGACTAACACACTATATTCCATCTTTTGGTTAAAACCTAGAAACAACAACCTGTTGGACAAATATCTTTCTACCAAGGAGTGAGGCAATACTCTACTTTTGGAATTGGTCTTCAAGAATTGATACTACAATAGTATTCAGACAATCTTTCCTCTGCAGTGGTTCGCTTCACTTTCATACACACAGAGTGACTTAGAAAACAGATGGAACTATAATAGTATTCAGACCATCTTTTCTCCCCAGCAGAGGTTAGATGGAAATCAGATGCAAGTATAACTGTTTTCCGAGCTTCTCTTCTGTTATTGGTGTGTATATGTGAAAAGGAAATTCAGTGCATGATATAACAAGGAAGCTGCACTTAAAGATGGCGACCTTTTAAAACCTAGAAACATCTATCCTGGCCAGAATGTAAACAATACTAATTAAAGGCACTAAAAGCACTATGTCTCCAAGTTGAGATTCTCATTCAAAGGAGCACGAGCAGCAGCAGATCACAATAACTTGCCTCTAGTTCATGTGAGGTCACGGTACCTGCCACTCTACTGCAGGTTTAAATTTTTAGCATGAAGTCACAATGATCAGTCTCTAAGTGGGCAGTATTTGCATGAACTCACAATGGCCACTTCCCTATTTCAGGAAATCATAATTAGGAGAGACTAATATTGAAGCAGACAGCAATATAGGAGGGGGAGGCCATTTCAAGCATCATGGAGAAGCTGTGGCATGTAGGTAGCTCTTTCTCATCAATCAAATTATATGGAAGAAGTTTCTAATGAGTTAGGCAAGACCCATGTATTCATAGTGACCACACTATTGGTGGCAGTTATCTGGACGGGGAAGCAGTAAAAAAAGAGAAGAGAAGAGAGCTGGCAAGAACTGCAGCTATTGCAGTTCCATAATACTTTGACATGCAAAGAAGTAATGGTGACAGTGAATTGGATACAAGGATGGATATGAATCATGTGAACATCATGGAGAGACATATGTATAGAAAAGGGCTGTAGGATTGCTCCTTTGGTCCCATGTGTCCTTTGTCTCATCAAATGTTTATATATTAAGTATGGTCGACTACAGAGAAACAATTTTCATCTTTGTGTAGGGTTTCATAATTAGTGGAAAATGGACATAGTCTTTTCCACATGGATATTGAGGGCAAGAGCAAACTACAGGGTTTGAAAAGCAGAAGTATCTGCAGGAAATTTTTCCCAGAGGGGGCAAACCCATATATAAATGTTAGCATATTACATATTCGCAGAATACACTGATACAGAATAGTGTTGCATTTTGCTCGTGTAAATGTCTACAATGTGGGAGGAAAATCAGAAAATCAGAAGCTGATTGGTAGCCAGTGGAGTAGGCCTAACAAAGAAGTTGTATATTCCCTGTGCGTTGCTCTGGTGAGCAACCTGGTTGCTGACCGTTGGACTAGTTGAAGCTTCCGGGCAGTCTTCAAAGACAGCTCCACATAGAGTGTGTTGCAGTAGTCTATTTGGGATGTAACAAGAGTGGCCAAGTCAGACTTCTCAAGGAACTGGCGCAGCTGGCACACAAGTTTTAATTGTGCAAAAGCTCTCCCACCTACATATATCACTCCAATCTTGGTGATGATGCTTGAAAAACTGACCCCATTTTCAGTATACCTTAACAACATCTTCTATTACTTACCTTGGTCCTTTCAAATCTGTGCATGAAAATTTGAACTGCTGTAGCACGATCAGCAGGAAAACATGCTTTCCTATATTTCTGTGCCAATTTAACCTTCTACAAGAGGAGATGGAGAAAGGCTGCAAAAATATGCTAGAAAATAATGCTTAAGCAAAAGAGGAAACATTGTGTTGTCAAAGGTATTCATGGCTGGAATCACTGGGTTGCTGTGAGTTTTCTGGGCTATATGGCAATGTTTCAGAAGCATTCTCTCCTGACATTTCACCCACATCTATGGCAGGCATCCTCAAAGGTTGAGGGGTCTGTTGGAAACTAGGCAAGTGAGGTTTATATATCTGTGGAATGTCCAGGGTGGTAGAAAGAACTCTTGTCTGCTTGAGGCAGGTGTGAATGTTGCAACTGGTCACCTTGATTAGCAATTAATGGCCTTGCAACTATAAAGCCTGGCTGATTGCTGCCTGGGGGGAATCCTTTGTTTGGAGTTATTAGCTGCCCCTGATTGATTTATGTCTGAATTTTCCCTGCTTTTTGAATGTTGCTCCTTATTTACTGTCCTGATTTTAGAGTTTTTTTAAATACTGATAGCCAGATTTTGTTCATTTTCATAGTTTCCTTTGTTCTCCCACCCTGGACATTATCCCACAGGTATAGAAACCCTACTTGCATAGTTTCCAACAGACCTCACAACCTCTGAGGATGCATCGTATAGATGCCTCCCGGAAAACTCACAGCAACCCATTGTTCACAGATACTGAAGACTCCAAAGAGAACCCTGGATGAAATTATTCTCCATAAACATAACACTTTTATTCATTACTGATAATTGTAATGAGTTGTAGGTCAGCACAAGCACTGCAGTTTTGCTTTAAAGGTAATCTATTCTCTCTCAACCCTTTAACTATATTTGAACAAGCACCTGCAGGACAATTCAGTATAGGTGTTTTTGCTGCCTTAAAAAAGTGTCCAAAATGTATGTATATATACACCCATAACAGTTAAAGCACCTGCAGGATAATTTAGTCTAGGTGTTTTTGCTGTCTTAAAAAATATCCAAAAATGTATGCATACACCCGTAACAGTTAATATCTCCGTGGGTTTGTTTTTTTTTTTTTGTAAATCCCCTCCTATCCCCCTATTATACACTTTAGAACAGGCATTGTAAACTTTGGCCCTTCAGGTGTTTTGGACTACAACTCCCACAATTCCTGCCCTCAGGGCCTTCCCCCCCCCCCCCCCAGCCACTTATGCGAGGGGAGGGGGAGAAATAAGGTTTAACACTGTGAAAGCCATTCACTGCATGACTATCAGCCTCCTCCCAGTAGACTCAAATCACGGAAAAGCTTCATGAGAACCACCACTCTGCTAATTGTTCCTCCAGCAACAGCAAGAATATCCCTCTAGGCCAGGGGTCCTCAAACTAAGGCCCGGGGGGCAGATATGGCCCTCCAAGATCATTTACCTGGCCCTTGCTCAACCTAAGTCTGAAACAATGTGAAAGCACACAACAACAACAATCCTATCTCATCAGCCAAAAGCAGGCCCACACTTCCCATTGAAATACTAGTAAGGTTTTATTTGTTAAAATTATTCTTAATTTTAATTATTGTATTGTTTTTAAGGGGGTTTTTTTGCATTAAAAATAAGATATGTGCAGTGTGCATAGGAACCCATTCATGCTTTTTTTCAAATTATAATCTGGCCCTCCAACAGTTTGAGGGACTGTGACCTGGCTGTCTGTTTAAAAAGTTTGAGGACCCCTGATCTACAGACATCACATGCAACTCCTAGAACGATTCCATCAGTGCTGCCTCTGAAAAATCTTCAAATCTCCTGGGAAGACAGGCGGACAAATGTCAGAATGCTGGAAGAAGCAAATACTACTAGCGTTGAAACAATGGTCCTCGATCATCAACTCCGCTGGACCAGCCACGTTGTCTGGATGCCCGACCACCATCTCCCAAAGCGGTTGCTCTGATATCGAGCTAGAATTTAGAGGCTCCCACCCAGGAGAGAGGAACCCTTAGATCCACCAAGGACGATCCAGTACTCTGGCGAGTGAACAGAAAAGAGCCAAGAATTTTCCCTGAATTTTCCCAAATAAATCTCACCAAAGTTGAAGAAAAGCCACCGAGTTGTACTTATTTCGTCCAGCTGGAACGGATGTCAAACAGGGATAGTTTGTCAGGAGAGACATCCATGCAATACATTTTGGTACAAATGGAGCTGTCAAAGTTCAAATTTCCCACCCCCCGCCCCTTAGCCGGCATCTCCCTGATTGGCTGTTGTCATCAGCTGGTGGGGAGGCACGGCCGGATGAGCCGCATTTTAGCCAATCAGAAAATCAGTGCTGCTCCGGGCTCTCGACCAATGGGAGCGGAGGAGGCGGTCCTTGGGAAGAACAATGAAGTAGATGTCCAGAAGATTGATTTAAAGTGCCTTAATGTGTCCAAATGGCCGGAATTAATCTATGAATAGATTCCTCAAGCTGGTCGAGTCTCTTGAAAGGTTGAGATATGCAGATAGGGCTGGCACGATCGCCCAGCCCTGGCATTTCCTGATCACAGATATGGGTTCAGATATGATTTCATTGTGTTGTCTTATGTTTTCCTTGGTCCATGGGGAAAGACAAAAGGGAGGAAAGCTGGGACATCCTGGTTTCCTTTGAAAGCAGGATGCCTCTTTGTTGGAAGATAACTAGTTTACCAGGTGGCTCCCCCCAAGCAGTCCTGCTCCGAGACTTGAGGGGGCCGGGTTATTATCATCCAATCAGTCTGTGCTTGAAACCTTGAATTAATAGGGACAAGCCTTGGGAAATGGGCTACACAAGGCTGATGTCATGCTGGAGGTCACTAAAAGGTGGCTTTCCATATTTCATATACAAAACATACACACAGGGGTCAGGGAGATACATAAGGAATAATGAAGCATTAGGGAATTTCATATACACCCACCCCACCCACCAGTACACCAGAATAAGTTCATAAGCACGAAATCATATCATCCCTCAATCATGAGAGTGGATTCCATAGGGCTTGGGGAAAAGTTCCATAAAGTTTTTTTTTTAAGTTCTCGAAAGTTTGGGAAAGTTGTTCAAAATTGTAAAATCCAGAAAAGGCCAGTGGGAAAAGGAGTCCCAGTGTCCACAGAGTCCTTATGGCCGTCCACCAATGCTGAATATCGAGATCCATGGAAAGAACTCCACACCAAGGCGGCCCGCTGACATCTTAGGGATCCCATGGGTTGACCGCGACAGTTTCCCAGGATCAGCAGGCTTCTTGGACACCCACAAAATGGTGGCAGTGAGGCAACATCTTTGGAAAAACAGCTGGACTCCAGGTTGGGGTTTCAGAGGCAAAAAAGGTTAAAGGGCGGGAGGGGCAGCAGAGCAAAACCAAGATAGCCATTAGTCTTAGAATTCTCCCAAGAGAAGAATGACACAATTTTTGAAGCAATCCGTTGACTTGCAGATACGGGGGCCCGAGGGGTTTCCGTATCCACAGTTTAAGGGAACACAGTTTTGGCCTCCCCAGGATGCGAAAATCGAATCCCAGGAGGGCTGGCAGCCATCTGCAGCCCGGGAGAACAAAGGTTTATTGAAAGAGAAGTTTTGAGGCAGTAAAGGACACAAAGTACCACTATGAAGAGGGAAAGGTAACAATTAATTGATACTGGGGGGATTAGTTACAATGTTAGGAAGCGGAAAAAGGCAAAGAAATGAAAAGGCTTCTGAGTTGCAGCTGCTGCTGTGCCCACGTTCATGTGGTTGGTCGAAGTGGGGCAATGAAGAACTGAGGAACTCCCTGCTGCGAGTCAGATCAACTTGAAGGCAGGGAGTTCTGGGTTTGGCCTCAGCTCTATTCCGAACACAAGAACGGAAAACGGAGTGTTAGAGGACAGGAAAAGAGATTTAAAGATGGGCTCAAAGCCAACCTTAAAAACTGTGGCATAGACACAGAGAATTGGGAAGCCCTGGCCCTTGAGCACTCTAGCTGGAGGTCAGCTGTGAGCAGCAGTGCTGTAGAATTTGTGGAAACCGATACCTTCACTGCAGAACATGCGGGCCAAGAATAGGGCTCCAGTCACCTACATACCCACCGCCAGTACACTGAACTTGGAAGACAATCTTATTCTAGGTTCTTGTGGGTTTTTTCGGGCTATAGGGCCATCTTCTAGAGGCATTTCTCCTGACGTTTTGCCTTATTTGGTCAACCAGGGATCGCCTAACCATTTTTTTCGTATCAAAAGCATTGCCTAAATTAGTATAAAACTACTAAAAATAGGAACATAAGCGGCTAAATAATATCTTTTGACCAAAAACGGGCAACAGTGACTGCATTGGGTTGTTGTAGGTTTTTTCGAACTATATGGCCATGTTCTAGGGGCATTTCTCCTGACGTTTCGCCTGCATCTATGGCAAGCATCCTCAGAGGTAGTGAGGTCGTGACTGCATTGTCTGTAGCCTCTGACAATTCTTCCTCTGTGCAGACAAACATACAGATGGGGAGTTGTCTGCTCTGCTTCAGAGTCATACAAGGATTCTTCTAGGTCAGTGGTTGCCAACCTTTTTTTTAATATCACAGACTCCTTAAGAAATGGGGCCACAAATTGGAGTCCACGACATGTCAGTGTGGAGAAGAGCAAACCATGGACCACCTATTACAGGGGTCCTCAAACTTTTTAAACAGAGGGCCAGGTCACAGTCCCTCAAACTGTTGGAGGGCCAATTATAATTTGAAAAAAATACAAATGAATTCCTATGCACACTGCACATATCTTATTTGTAGTGCAGAAAGCACTACAAAAGAAAATGAATGAACAATTTTAACAAATATAAACTTAGTATTTCAATGGGAAGTGTGTGGCCTTTTGGCTGATGAGATAGGATTGTTGTTGTGTGCTTTCAAGTTGTTTCAGACTTAGGTTGACCCTGAGCGAGGGCCAGGTAAATGCCCTTGGAGGGCCGCATTCGGCCTCTGGGCCTTAGTTTGAGGACCCTTGCTGTAGATAGTCCACGTTTTGCAGGCATATAGCAGGGTCGGGAGGACAATAGCTTTATAAACAAGTTCTATACTAATTTAGGCAATGCTTTTGATACGGAATAAATGAATAAACCCCTCTTCAAAATCAATGCCTTTACTTAACCTTCAAATAATCACGACGGCAGCAACTATGAGATGTTAAAGGGGGCATATATATATATATATATACACACACACACACACACACACACACACACACACTAGCAGTCCTCTGCCATGCATTGCTGTGGCCCAGTCTTGTGATCTGGAAAATAAAGTAATTAGAAAGTGCTGGTTTCTAATATATGTAATGTCTTTATGCTTGTGGGTAAACTGTATTTCTTGATGTTTCTTTGACAGAATTGACATAGAGATTGTCTGGTTTGCCTACTCTGGAACATGCAACATATAATTGTCCATGTTTAGGAGTTCCTTTCAAATCTATAATATTTTATCTCTGTGTGTATGAATCATATATATCTATATCTATGGCTGGATGGCTGTCAGGAGGGCTTTGATTACGTTTTCTTGCCCTGGTGAAGGGAGTTGGACTGGATGGCCTTAAGTATTTTCTGTTGGTCATGGGGGTTCTGTGTGGGAGGTTTGCCCCAGTTTTGTAATTTGTGGGGTTCATTCAGAATGGTCTTTGATTGTAGGTGAACTATAAATCCCAGTAACTACAACTCCCAAATGCCAAGGTCTATTTCCTCCAAACTCCATCTGTGTTCACTTGGGCATATGGAATATTCGTGCCAAGTTTGGTCCAGATCCATCATTGTTTGAGTCCACAGTGCTCTCTGGATGTAGGTGAACTACAACTCCCAAAGTCAAGGTCAATGCCCACCAAACGCTGCTAGTATTTTCTGTTGGTCATGGGAGGCCTGTGTGCCAAGTTTGGTTCAATTCCATCGTTGGTGGAGTTCAGAATGCTCTTTGATTATAGGTGAACTATAAATCCCAATTCCCAAATGGCAAAATCATAATTTTTTGAGTGATGGTCACTCCTTGTGTTGTGAGACGTTTTGCTGCCAAATTTGGTGTGATTTCGTTCATTGGTTCCTTTGTTTTTAAGGTACTCATTATGCACAGAGCATTTATATATATAGATAAATAGATATATGTCCCCTTCATAGTCGCTGCCGTCGTGATTATTCATGTATATATATATTCATGTTTGCAGGGACTGCCTCTGTGCCTAGGAAAGCGAAGAGGGGAGCTCGCCACAGGCCTCCTTCTTGAGACGTTGCGTCTCCTCGGCCGCCATAGACGTGTCTCCTTCCGCGCTGCACTTCCTTCGCAGAATACACTCAACCTCCACATTGACGGGGAAAAGAAAGGAAACACGGGCCTGGCGTACCTTCCGAGACGCTGCCGTGTGAATATTTCCCCTTCTATTAAAGAGAAATCGTCACACGAGTCCTCTCAGCTGACAGTCGGAGGAGGACTATTTTTCCTCCCGCCAGCCGAGCCCTCCCCTCCCCCCGCCCCTTTTCCCCCCCCGGTGACGTCAGAGAGAGCCGTGTGAGGCCTCTTGGCGCTAATGGCAGCAGCAGCAGCAGCGGGCAGGAGGGAGGAGGATTAATGTTCGAGCGCGAGAAGGGCGGTGGCGCGCGCGCGCGCTCTCGCTCTGTCGCGAGACAGACAAGGGGCGGTTGGCTGGTCTGTGTGTGCGCGCGCATGCTACCCGTCCGCGCGACCCTCCCTCCCTCCCTCCCTCCCAGATTTATATCCAGTATACGTAATACAGAGCGAAGGGCGGGGGGGGGGGAGCGAGAGGGGGAAAAAAGGGAGGGGGCACGCGCCGGGAGGATGACGTCGAGCTAGGCCTGGCGCGGCAGACAGAGCCTTTTGAGTCCTAATCTTGTTTTGGCAACAGCGGCCGCTACTGCGGATATGGCCGAGTTGTCGCCGCCGCCAGCGGCCTCTCGTTCTGCGTTGGGCGCTGCTTCCCCGCCACTCGTTGAAGCAGGTAATAATACAGAACAGGACGAGAGAGGCAGGGAGAAAGAGCCGAGGGACGGGACAAGCTGAGGAAGCGAACGCTCGCCTCCCCGCCGCCATCTTACATTGGTGTTGTTTGGTTATGAATTGCAGTCACCGAAGTCCCCCCTCCACTCAGCCTCCCCTCCCACGCTGCCCCAGCGTCGCCAGCTGTGAATTCATTTCTCTCTCCCTCCCTCCCTTTCTCTCTCTCTCTCCTAGAGCTATACTTCCTCATAGCTCGGTTCTTGACCACTGGGCCCTGCAAGAGAGCAGCAGAGGTGAGTCCTCCTGAATTATTACCCAGCCTCACACCCCCTCCCCCCCCCCAACACAAACCGAAGGGCTTCACAGCGCCCCCTTTCCTCCCTCGGTCAGCATTTTTTTTAAACCTTACTCAAAACAGTCTTCTTTTTTTCCCCTCCTTCCTCTGCAGGTGCTAGTGCAAGAACTGGAAGAGCACCAGGTTGGTTGGACGCTTTCTCTTCGTTTTAATCATTTTGAACTCCACTCAGACTTCATTCCACTACCCTCGCCTTTTAAAGAAAATTCAACCACATTTATGCGAGCTTTTGTAATATGCAGAAGAGACAGTTGAGAAGGAGACATGATTGCAATGTATAAATATGTGAAACTGTCATAAGGAAGAGGGAGCAGGCATGGTTTTTTTGCTGTCCTGGAGATGGGGGGGGGGGGGGCTCTTCCACACAGCCATATAACCCAGAATATCAAGGCAGAAAAACCCATAATATCTGCTTTGAACTGGGTTATCAGAATCCACACTGCCAAATGTTCCAGTTCAAAGCAGATAATATGAGATTCTACCTGAACATTAGGAAGAACTTCCTGACTGTAAGAGCTGTTCAGTATTTGAACTCCCTGCTACAGAGTGTAGTGAAGATTCCTACTTATGAGGCTTTTAAACAGGCTGGATGGCCACATGTCTAGTGAGCTTTGATTGTGCTTTTCCTGAATGGCAGGGGGTTGGGCTGGATGGTCTGCAGACTATTTTTTGACTCCATGGAGAGCATGGATGAGCTCTCTCTGTCAGCTCCAGCTCTCCATGCATGAGAGAGGCTTCCCACAAGGATGTAAAATATCAAAACATCCGGGTGTCCCCTGGGGAATGTCCTTGCAGACGGCCAATTCTCTCACACCAGAAGCGACTTGCAGTTCCTCAATTCGCTACTGTCATGAAGAAAACCCCCCCCGAAGGGGTTATTTTTCTTTGTGTCAGGAGCGACTTGAGAGAGCACAACATATAGGGTGGAGAACAACATATATATGGCAAACATTCAATGCCGGAACACAGAAGAAAAGATAAATACACATAAACACTAAAATCAATTGTGTCTGCTTTAAAAACAATTGTTTAAAACCATCTCAAATCAGCCATACTGGATTATATTGTTGCCTTATTGCACTGTCCCAAAGGCTTGTTCCCACAGCCAAGTTTTTAACCATTTTTCTGAAGGACAGGAGGGAGGGAGCCGATCTAATCTCACCAGGGTGGGAATTCCATAGCTGAGGGGCAATCACTGAGAAGGCCCTCTCTCTCGTTCCTGCCAATCACGCCTGTGATGGTGGTGGGACTGAGAGCCGGGCCTCCCCAGAAGATCTAAATCTAGGACTCAGAGCAATGGGTCCAAATTCCAGGAGATTCAACCTGGACATAAGAACTTCCTGACCATAAGAACTGTTCAGCAGTGGAGCTCTCTTCTTTGAAGTATGATGGAAGCTTTTGCTTTGGAAACTTTTAAACAGAAGCTGGGTGGCCATCTGTCAGGGATACTTTGTGCTTTTCTTGCATGGCAGGAGGTTGGATTAGATGACCCATGCGGTGTCTTCCAACTCTATTCTTCTGTGATTCTATGATATTCTGTCGTGCCCTGATCTCCCCATATCTTTATTTTCCTTGTTTTAATTTTTAGTTGCTTCCTAAAAGATTGGATTGGGAAGGAAACGAGCACGGCAGAAGTTATGAAGATTTGGTGAGATTTTAAAAGTTCTCTAAATTTTGGTTTACTTGGAAAACCATAAGCATTTGTTTGTTAAGTGAAGAAACACGCTCTTTCATTTAATCTGTATTTTGCTACTAATGGAAGGTATTTATTCTTGTGGTTAACAAAAGGCATACATGGGATTCAGTGAACAGAGGATGTATGTTGTCAACGGTGGTGCAGTGGGTTAAACCAGGCATGGGCAAACTTTGGCCCTCCAGGTGTTTTGGATGTCAACTCCCACAATTCCTAACAGCCGGCCAAAGTTTGCCCATGCCTGGATTAAATCCTTGTGCTGGCTGGACTACTGACCTGAAGGTTGGGTTGCTGACCCGAAAGTTGCCAGTTTGAATTCGCGAGATGGGGTGAGGTCCTGTCTGTCAGCTGTAGCTTGGGGGGACATGAGAGAAGCCTCCCAGCAGGATGGCAACACATCCGGATGTCCCCTGGGCAACATCTCTGTAGATGACCAATTCTCTCACACCAGAAGTGACTTGCAGTATGTTCTCAAGTTGCTTCTGACACAATAAAAATGGTGGAGTGTAACAGTGTGTGACCTGTGTTTGTCTTTTCAGATTTTGTATCTTAGGATGATGTAATAATAATAATAATAATAATAATAATAATAATAATAATCTTTATTTGTACCCTGCTACCATCTCCCCAAGGGACTCGTTGCGGCTTACATGAGGCCGAGCCCAAAGTACATCAGACAAAACATCAATAAACACAACATCAACAAACAATCAATAAAATACAAATCATATAAATCACATAAACAGAAATCAATCAATAGTCACATAAACAATTTTAAAAATGGCCGGGCCAAATGTAATAGATTGAATAGATTAAAATTGAAAATATGCTGACGTGAACAAGGTAAAATATATATAGGATAGGATTTTTTGGAGAGAAATGAGGGAGCACAGTTCATCCTAAGTCAGTATTAAAGTGCATTGTGAGGACATATTGCTGAGAGTTCTCCTTATTCTGGGAAGGCACACTGGAACAACCACGTTTTCAGGCTCCAACTAAAGACTAAAGATGTACCCTGAAATGACGTTTTATTTTTTAGTTGCTGTAGAAAATTCTCCTAAACAGTTTTAATTTGTCAGTGCTTTCTTGCTGGTTCCCAAAAATCACCTTGTTCTTCTGAAGTGCTTCCGTTAGACACTTGAGCTATTAGAGGCTAGAATGTCAAACAGTTTACAGTAGTTGTAGATAACCAATCTGAAATATAGTTTATGCTTAGTGTTTGGTATGTGGCACCATGAAACTAGAATCTCGCCTTTGCTTTGTTTTTGAGTGACCTTTGTGCTCTTAGTTTCTATTGTATGAATATTAAACATGGATAAAGAATGCATTTTAGAGTGTTTTACCTATTTAAATAGAGTGATTGGGAGGGACTTTCATTGATGGACTTTCATTGATAGTTATCTTATGCATATCTACCTATTAATTAGTCTTCATAAGTACTATCACAATTGGGTATTTGCCTGTCAATAATAATTTATTTTTTACCGGCCTCTCCCCACAGCTCGAGGTAGGTCATAACAGTTAAAAACACACAAATACTATATAAAATTATACAAATACATTAAAATTCAGTTCCATAAAAGATTCAGATCAAAGTATTTATGGCAACTCTGAATGTTCATAGAATTGTTTTAGACAAGGAATATTCAGAGGTGGTCTTTCTAGTTCCTTCTTCTGAAATGGGGGGTCCTTCCGGACAGGCCCTTTATCCCAGGATCTGACCCCAGGTTTTCGTTTTTAACCTGGATTATATGAGGCCCTACTGCCAGATAGTCTGGGATAAACAGAAAACCTGGGATCGGATCCTGGGATATAGAGTCTGACTGGAAGGGCCTATAGTTGAAAGCACCTGTTATTTGTTGATTGTCTCCCATCCAAGTACTAGCCAGAGCTAATATTGCTTGACCTTGTGGGGGTTTTGAATCTTTTTTGTTCAAATAATTGAAGTGAGGTTGCAGTCTTTATGTACACCTGAATCTGGGGTTGATCCTCAACATTTCTGTTTTGGTCCAGCTCCATATTCTGCAAAGCTCTTCAGATGCTATATCTCCCTCCCCTGCTCCCCACCCGAGCAGCAGCAGTGGAATTTGAACTGTCCAGTGAGGCCAATGTTTGTCCTTTCCAGACAGTTACGGGGAAAAGGAGATGATGGCACTGGGCATGTGGACAGTGTACTGATTCGAATTAGAGCTGCTCCAGCTGTGCACACTAACGCTTAAGTGCAGGGCTGCTCTGTAGAACTTCCCAATTTATAATGCAGGGTAAAAATGGGTTAGCTGGTTTTACCCCTTATTATAGTACAGTGGTTCCTAGACATCCAGGAGTGACCTCTGGTTGAAACCAGAATATGTGAGAGTGTAGACTCACTCCCACATATTCTGTTTTGGAGCACTCTGAGATTTTTTTGGTGAGTAACCTTGAGTGGTGATAATTGCA